CGTGGTCTGCATCGCCAATGACAGCTCCATATCTTGAGGCCTTCTATATCAGGTCGTGTCCGGTTCCTAGCTCGATAAGTCGGTTATTATCATCCTCACATCATAGAATGCGTTTCTCGTACGGGCGAGCGAACGCCAGTATCGCAGCATGCTCAGAGGAGGTTTCAAGATTTTCTCACATACCGTCGTCTAGCACTATGGGCCTATTTGCCTCTCCTCTTCTCCAATGCTGGACGCGAAGATACTTGAAGACTTAGGTAAGATTCTTCCACTCACCGGTTGAGGAGCTGTAAGTTTGTAGCATTCCCCCTTGAGGTTAGAATCCTCAAGTTTTGATCCGTATCAATCAGTGCTGGCTCCGTGTGCCTCACTCTCCCAATCGCGCAGAAATTTCATTTTAACTCTGTCTGATCCTAACAGTCTTAGATGCATGTGGGATTTGGATAGAAATTCAGTACTTCCGTTCGGATTCCCGCTTGGAGTTTTGGTTGTCATGCTGCCTCGTAGTTGTGATATCATCTTATCGCGTCCGATATCTGCTCACGTCCGGACAAATAGTGACTGGTGGGAATCATATCTGGTACATGGCGAGTTTGAAATCTGTTGAAGCAAATGCGAGGCGATTAATCATCCCGTGATCCTTGATACACCCCTCGGTTTCTCATTGATTGCACGAGTCTCGAAGATTTCAATCCAGTATTGGTGAGACGAGGTCTCTCTGTAGTGACTGCGGGTTATTTCACTAGTTTTTCGCTGTGTCTGGTACCCAGGTTCTTGCGGCCTTCAGTTAACTCGGCCAGTCTCAGTCATGTTCCCTCCGCCTTCTCTGCAGTATCCCCCTGTGATCAGCGGCTCGATACCGCCTACAGCTGTTTCTGGCTCGGAGCCTTCTGTATTCTGGCCATCATGTGAGGATTACAATTTTCAGTCTCCTATTCATAGTGTTCGCCGTCTTTTAGTGTTTCCAGCTCCATCGCTGGTCATCCCCCGTACCCCATTTGCGACATACCTTCCTTCTAGAGCAGTCACTCGTGTGGAATCGGAGCAGTCTGTGACCACCGTGATCGAGAATCATGGCGCAGAATCTCAAAGAAGTGAAGATCAAAGGACGGGATACTCGATCCGTCACTCTCACGCTAATGCTCATCACCAAGGCTGATACAGCTTGCACTTCGCTTCCACTTCCACTGTGGTTTTCGTTACATCTGTCGCGTTTAGATCGAGGACTTTCCGATCAAACCGATGCCAAGACCGAGGCCTCTAAGCCTCCGACTACATCTTCTGTCGCGGAGCCGGCAACTGAGACTGAAGCGAAGAGGATAAGTGCTGCAGTGGTCAATGGTATGCCCACCGCGATGTACTGATTGAAGTCAAATCGGAATTGCTCTCAGGCAGACGCACGTCCGCCGTTCCGTCGAGGAAGCCAGGGTGCAAGGGGGTCGCTCCCGAGAGGTGGTTGGAGAGCCTGCCGAATTCACCAGGGGTTCTTCACATCTTCAGGATGTCTAAGATGAAGGAGGAAGTGGAAGATAACGCCGTTAACGAGCTGAACGCTGAGCTGAAAGAGCTTCTTCAAGAAGCCCGCCTTAGCGAGGAGCGATATAATTGCATCAAGCGTGAGCCAGCCTTAATCTGAGCAGAGACTTGATGTCGTTTGGCTCCACTCCTAGTTGAGATTGATACACTTCGCGACCTCAATCGCAGCAGGAGTGGCCTCATCGCTGAAGCCAAGAGGCTAGTCCATTCCTTAAGAGAGGAATTGTTGGAAAAGGAGATCTCCCTCAGACAAGTGGGGTTATTTGGGAACAATGGCGGAGAATGGAAGTTGACTCTTTTCAGCTTCAAAACGAGAAGGAGCAGCTGGAGCTGGATCTCAGACTCGTTGACGATGATGTGAGTCCTATCTCCTTTCGCTATCCGGGATTCCTTGCCACTGACTGAGTTGTAGTCTTCTCTCGGAAGAACATCTGCATTTCCCCTGGAGATTGAGCTCGTCAGGCTCGCTTTTTCGAAGAAGAGTTGACTAGATTACAGACGAGAGTCAAGAGAGCTCAAGCAGAAGCCGACGTAGTGAGAAAGGGTAATACGTTGTTGTAAATGAGACTTGCTGTAGGCAACCTTCATTCGTGAAGAGATGGCCAATCTGGAGGCTGGTGGAGGAGATGAAGATGATGATGAAGAAGACGAAGGCGAAGACGAAGACGAAGAAGAAGAGAATGATCATGATGATGAATATGATGAATATGAGGAGAATAGCAGCGAGGAAGAAGGGATAGATAACTACGAGTGCGACGAAGATAACAGCAGCAGTAACCTCGCTGAAAACTCTGGAATGTGGGCTTCGACTTTTCTCCTGCGCGAGAACTGCTAAGTGCTTCAGCGCGGCCCGTGAGAATCTGGAGCAGTTCCTCGAGATGATGATGGAGTTGGAACAGCTCAAGCTTGAAGCCCAAGCTGCTGATGAATTGAACCAGCTCGCCGAGGCACGAACTCGACTGCTTTACGGCGATCGTAAACTTGCGTTCCCCTCTGGTTTCGTGTCTCCCAGTATGTTGAAGAGAAGCGTTCTCCGTCAGGCGCTGGAAAAGGACGAGTCTGTGCGATTGAATGTATTCGAGAAGAAACTTAAGCACCATAATGAGCGGCATAACGAGAACGATGGAACCAAAGATAAGTAAGTGTCTTGTTAACACGGCTCTACGGAATGCAACTGATCGTCATGACCGATTTGCAGTCGGAGGTGAGGGTGACCATTGTGCGTGTTCAGCGACCCTGTACAGGCCAAGGTCATTTGAACTCGTCATCGACGCAACGGCTGCTGTCCTCCTTGAAAAGGCTAGATATCATCGTCACTGTCAATTGGGAGGCACGTCCCCATGCATGCAGTACTATCGATCACTTGCATCATCCTCACACTTCCCGCGTTCAACTCCACAAGGTGTTGCACGGTGCAGTTCTGTGCTTGCCCCTCGACTGAGCAGTTTTCGCCGGTCCAGGTTTTTAGTGGGATTGTGAGGCGGTCGATCAGCGAAGTATGCTACGAGCTTCCCGGGGAATTTCTTATAATCGGCGTTCGGAGCGCTTCACATGCTGAGGCCCGTCCTGGATGGCTTTGATGCTAACATAACGCAATACTGTGTTTGAGTACGTTTCGGTTGGGTAGTAGTCTTTATCCTGGCGATGACTGAGAACCGGGATACAACAAACCATCCAGGAGTGGTGGGTCGAGAAATGTTATTAACCGAGTGGCTCATGGATCAGATCGAGTCCTGCCAAGACGTACGAGAGTCTGTATCCCACCCCCTGTGTGACGCTCAGCGACGGTATACGATTTTACCCGTTTCAGGTTCTCACCTACGATCCACATTCATGGCCGCTTGACCATGAAACGGACTTGCGAATTAGGCAAAAGTGAGGATCGATTCTTCAGGGAGGAATCGTATGTTGTGAACGGCAGGTTCTACACCAAAGTCTGCAATGGAGTACTCTCTCACCTCATCAAACTGGGAGTATTCCAGAAGATCAAGGAGTTGGATGCAGCACTGGCAGAGAAGACTTTCTCAAGCAACCCATCGGGTAGGACTGATTGAATTGCTGGCCGTCACCTATTTCCTTGACTTCCGTGACCCGCGATTCAAATCACACTCGATCGCCTCTGTTGCTGCTGAGGGGTGTCCAGCGGATATGATATTTTAGCGGCCACTGTGGTGCCATCCGGCGATGAAGAAACTTGGCAGCGAGAAGCGAAGCTAGCGGTCTTGAGAGAGAAGATTAGACAAATGGATGAAGCGGCAGCACAGCGGCGTGAGCGTGAGCAAGTACATGAGTAAAGTTTGATCAGTTGGAAGATCGAATGGTATCTGATTCCAGATAATAGATGAGGAGCTCAGTTCTGCTGAGGCCCAGATGGCAGCTTTGAAGGGAAAGGCAGACTCTATTGCAGCAAGGACTCGCTAATTGAACGAGGAGGCAGTTCATGGCTTCAATGCAATCACACATTAATGCGAGATTGTTGCGTTCGTGCGAACAAGCTTCCAAGGGGAAGTGAATCTCTGTAGATGTACTACAAGCTACACCACGAGCGAATGACAAAACCACCTCGAAATCGCACTTACCAGAAATCCTACTCTCTTTGTTTTGAGCTAAGGTATTATGATCTCGTGCATTAATAGTATATCAGTCCTTAGCTTTCTTGAGGGCTCGAATGTCATTTATCCATCCGAGAAATGGTGAATAATTGGGACAAAGGCCAATTCGATAATATCGAATTAGTGCCAGGCTATAGGCTACTCACCAACCGTTATCTGTAAATTTCCTGTTCGCCGGTAGACTCCCTCGCTAGTGGCACGCGATGTTGCTTCGTAATCCACGAGTTCAGCCATTCACGACGCAGTGAGCCGGTCCCAATGCGATGGGATCCCATGGATACAAGCGTGATTGTGAAACAAGCACCACCGTTCATAACTCGGATGAAACTCTGATGTGAACAGACTAGTTAGTAACTAGTAGTTACTGTATCTGTTGGACTCGATAACGGCAACATAGAGCTCCTCATTCGTACAGCGATATTCCGGCAACACATACCAGGAACTGACGGTTAACATTTCCGTCTCGCTGTCGAGTGTTCGCGACCAGAAATGCCACGAGTCTGTTTTACTGACTATGAACGATGCCTCGCGAAAGAGCGTTAGGCCCTGTCGGAGATTATGTAGGGGCTCGTAGCCACTAATTCGAACTGGTAGTGAGTTCGTGCTCTTCTGCTTGGGAATATGTCGTGAACATATTACCGTATCAACTTATTTACCAACATCGACAACACTGGCGCTCAACTCAGAGACATAACTAAGTGAATGTTTGATGGATGCGCGCTGTAGATCGGTCGATTTTACTGGTCCCACAATCACAGATCGCTGCGAGTTCGCAGTTGCTTCACTGGAAGGGATTCATTCAATGAACCCATCTACTCGACGACCTCCGAACCATATACGACAGAGGCGGCTACTAACGAACAAATTATTGCATGGCTATGCAAAGGCAAACCGCCGTCATTCAACTTGACTCGGTTCCGATGCTTCTGCTGTTGGGATCTTTGGGAACATCTCTTTGTCACTTACAAAGTGGAAGTCGTCATCCTGCCATGTACGAGGCCGTGAGACGAGAGTAATTACGGAGATGACAGCCTGACAGGGAACATGTGAGGCAAAGAAGCTTTTACCGAACGTACCAGTATCATAGACCCAATAGCAACCGACAGAATGATGATGACTCGCAGAGAGCTGTGCCCAGATGAGGAAATGGCCGACTCTCTAGTATCTGTCAACCAGAAACCCAAAGGACATAGGGCGACACACAGGCGCCGGCCAGATCCATCGTACAGCAAAGCGAGTTTATCATTCCCTGATTCTGATTGGGTTCCTTCGGTTGGTCTGTAACGCACTGGAGGAAATAATCTCGCGAACGGTTATACCTGCCAATTGATGAGAGAACTGACAACAGTGGGTCCTCACTTGAGTCCATCCGCTGTTATTTTCTCTCCTGTAGACGCATCTGAAGTGCATATCACCGGCGTGAAACGAACAGGATCTCCTAGGCACCTAAGAGGGAATGCGCGGGCATGCTGCACGTCAAGGACGAACACTTCTTACCCTTCCACTAAACAGTAACCTCCTGAGCAATCCAGTGCGCGCCACGTAGAATAGAACCTGCAAAGGGAAGGGCGATTGAAGTTAGAACTAATAGATGAGTCCTACGATGTTCTATAGTCATGGAGGAGTTCGTACTCAGATGAGTCTGTCTGATTATCATAAGCGTTTGCTCCATTGCGGTCGATGGCTTGAGCGGCAATGTACTCCGTAGACTGGCTCGCTAGCACGATTGAATACAGAATTACCAGTATCACAGCCACCAAGATGTACCTCAAGAGGGCATAACATCAAAGAGCTGACAAACCCTATCTCTCACCGTATTTGCTTCGATAGGTCTTTGCTCCGGAGAGCCCGAAAGCCATACATCGACGTGGCGAGCATGAGTAGGTTGAAAAGTAGCGTAAGGAATATGGAGAGGACCGAACCGATGTAGCTATCGTCCAAAAGGCTCCAAATGCCTGTCGAGTACATTCAAGGGAGCTCACCTATGCGGACTTACTCGTCACGACGCCCACCAGGCCCCAGATCAAGAGGAATGTATTGAAAGCGATACAGAATCCCATAGCCGTATAATCGAAGGCTCTTCGGAAGCGCACACCAGCGCTCGATATGAAGCCTGGCGCCGTCTCCACCATTTGTCAAAGTGGGCAGAATTTCTCGCCGTGAGGCCAGCAAAGAAGTTCAACGTTCTCCTCGAACTGCGTAGGGAAGTTGCTATAAAATCCAAATGGCTCGACGTACTCAACACCACAATGGGATATCCGAGAGAGGAAGGTAAAACACTTCGTACGACAATGAATCACGATGGCTCCCGTTAGCTGCCTCGTAGTGAAAATGTGGTTTCTGCTGTTGCTCCTTGACTCGTCACTCGTCTTCCCACCATGGAATGGTTCAGTGGATGAGAGTCACTAGCGTTGTCCATCCATTGCTAAGGGAGTGCATGTCACGTGTGTGACACATGCTATAATTCCACGATAAAATCAGAAGGACTGCTGCGGCCTTCGGCAAGCACTGGACAAACGAGGGTGGCTATACAGTAGACAGCTGGGAGAAAATTGCTTTTCGGTATGATACTGGATATCGTCACAGTGCGCCGATTTAGTTCACAAAATCTCACTAAATTTCACATCAGTAAAAAGCAAAACCAGTTTATTGTTTGAGAAGTAAGAGAAGTTAGAATGATAGGAAAATTATGCTGCTTTTCATCTCTATTATGCCACAAAATATATGAGAACAGCTCATGCTCTATCGTGTTGCTTCCCCAGGAATTTTAATGGTTCTAGACTCGAACGTTGTACCACAGAGCGAAGAGATTACCGATCGCATCGGATCATTTAATTCTAGTGTCATTCTCAACCGCATTCATCTCTTCTTCGCGGCAGCCTATGCCCCCCTGATGCGTGAGATCACTGATTCTTCCGATCTCCACATCCGACTTTCTCGACTAACACTAGTGCTACACCGCGGTCAACCCTAATCGGCCTCCCGTGGTCGATATAATTCGCAGCATAGAGACTGATCAGGTTCAGGCACGTTGCATGCCTCGTCTGTGATCTCTCAGTAACAGCTTTTGGACGATCTCCCTCCATGACCGCAGCCAATTCACTTTCTCCATTTTGATGGGAAAAACCAACCGGGATCGGACTTAGCGGACAGATCGGGGAAGGCGACCCGTCATATACCGAGCACTCAACAAGATGGAGACTGGGAAAGCTATGGTAGCAAGAAACAATAATTTTACGGCGCAGCGGTCATCTCCACATCATCCGAAGGCGATCGGGTGTCATCCATGAGATCCTCGTCCGACTCGCTATCCTCTCCTCCGACTTCACCGACCCGCTCTGTGAGTGGCACCCAACTCTGGTGGGAATCTTTAGCATTTGGACAATATCTAAGGAGCAGCAGTTATTGAACCAGAAACCGCGTAGAGAGCAACAGCTGGCTCCAGGTGAAACTCGGTCCCCAATGGTACTACTGTTTCCGGAGAGTCTCGAATACTAAAATCCGATAGAGCTGCTCCACGAAGGCGTCAGCCTCTTCGTCAATCACGACTCGAAGCTAACAGTAAGATATGCAGGGAGCAGGGATCGAACCCGATATCTTCCCTAGCCTTATCTTGTGAATACATTCTTGCGTATCCACTATAATGACAAACCTCGCATAGGTATCGCACAAGCATACCAAGAACCCCGAGTTATTACCTCCCTTGCTAGATCAGGCGCATCGGTTCGCCGATTGACCATCCTCATTATCCAGTCGGTGAGCTCCCGGTCGGGACTGCCCAACCACAATGACACCTACAGACAACTAATCCAAATTAGTTATTGTATGCCTAGAGCAGTCCGGAGATAATCTTTCAACCTCGTGTGGAGCAGTCACGATACCAAGATACCTTCTCGGAAAGATATGCTACCTGGCGACGGACCCACGTCCACAGAGTCTGCTGGACAGTAGTAGATTGACTCAATACGTAATCCCAGTCAATCGGATGACGATAAATATCCGAACGTTCACTCGGCACCTAACGCACGAAGGGGATTTCCTGCCACGGATATCCAAGATAACCTACCAAGGACATGAGCTCGTGGATACTCATTGTACTCCGACTCTTGTGTTCCCTCTTCCGCCGCTTCCTCTCATGCTTCTCGCGCTTCTCTGTCTCTATATCAACCTTATCGGCTGCTGCTCGTGCTTCAAGATATTGAGCTTGCACCTAGCAGAGATACAAAACAGCTTCACATGACACCTCCAGGCTCCCATGGTACATCAGCCAACTGCTGCTCGTTCCTCGACAGCTTCTCCTGTTGCTCAGCCTTCCCCAACAATACCGTCTCAATGCGCTTCTCTTCCTTCTTCACAAGTGACCCCTTCCAGTTCTCAGTGCCTCTGGCATTAGCCTGCGATTCCTCAGACTGTATTCTAGCTTCCCCAGCCCGAGCTATGTCCGACAGGATACCCTTCGCCCGATTAACCTGAGCCCGTCGACAATGAAGCAATCAATAGCAACCAGGGAGAGATAATAACAATATAATAGAAGTGATAAGTGATGCTGTTATTCCGAGAAGTGCGCTGTTGTGTTGATGTGAACTTCGTGAAGGACAGTAGAATGACAGAGAGAAGGTGTTTTACGATGAATGGGATATGCTATATGCTACCCTGCGGGCATAGATTCCCAAGCGTACTGCCGTTCCTTTTCCAAATCAATCTTAATTGTAAGTATATCCCCCATGCCCTGGTACTACCAACTGGTGTATCTCATCATCCACCAAGTCCATGAGATTGCTAGGCACCTCATAGCCCTCCTTAGCGATCCTATTGGCGACCTCTCTGCCTCTGACACCCCGCCAGTGATACATCATATCCTGAGTCCTTTTATCAACTCTAGCATATATCTCCCGACCAAAAAGCCTTATCCCAGTCAGAGCTCGCTGTGCCTTGAACGCAGCCCCGCACGAACGGTACTCAGCAATGACGAACGTCTCTCCGGGAACCCTCCAAAGCTGTATAAACTGGTCATTGATTTTCTCTATGGCCTCCTGGCGTTCCGCAGTAGTAGATGTACTCTGTTTTTCATCATCCGCCGGCGCCGCGGCCACTGTGAACATCTCGTCGAGCAACTCTTTGTCCGCCCTCGGGTCGATGTGGAAGGCGAAAATGAGGCCCCGCCGAACACCACTCGTCCCTGGTTTGTATGCAGGCCGCCTAGAGCCTCCTGCAGGCCGCGTATTCACCATCCCTTCCGATGGAACTATGTTTGGTCGGACCGGTGGTATGGGCATGGCTGGTGGTACGGGTGGTCCACCACCGAGCATGGGTGGCGGCATTCCCATCATATGAGGTCGTTGGGCTCCCATCATCGGAGGACCTTGGGACGGTAGAGGTGGAGGCATCATCATCCTTGAAGGCGGTGGTCCAAGGTCGGGACTCATCCCAGGTGGACCATGGCCCGGTGGAGGGTTCCAGTTGGGACCACGGAGAGGTGGATGATCGAAGCCCTTACCCTTACCACTACCTTTGCCACCAGCCCACATAGGACCCCACTCGGGAAATGCCTTGCCCCAGCCACCCGGCATCGGAGGCATTGGTGGCATCGGCGGCGGGGGACCGAACCCCTTGCCGTCAGAAAACCCAGCGCCCTTACCGCCATAGCCTTTTCCCCCAGGAGGACCCGAGAACATTATACGGAAGGGGAAAAGACTACAATAAGCACCCCGAGTCCCTTCAAACATCGTCCTCTGAAATCACTTCAATTCTAAATCACATTGGAGGATGAAACTCGTCAAGCAATATGAGGCTTCGACCGCAACAATGTGGTCCACCATATCTGTATCCAATATTGGCGAACCGAACCTTTGAACCTATGTTATGCTCGGCGGACCGACTCAGTTGACTTGGACGGTTCCTCAACGCGGTAAGTACTCATGTGAAAACGGAGAGCTTACCTGATCAGAAAACGGGCAAGAAAAGAGGTCGGCAACTGCAGACCAATGGGGCACCTCGGGACGGTTCACGAGGTTATCGTCTGACGATGCCCTGCGGTGTGGTGATCGGTTCACGGTGTAGTATGGTCATTTTTTGAAGATCTATTTCGCTCTCAGTGAAGTCAATTCCATCGGGCGGGGCACCTATGCCACAACCCCAAGATATGCATAGTACAATTAATTCTGCGATAGGAAGAGTAATTCCGCCGGATTGTGGGAATCAATCTCGCTGTTCGTGGAGCCTATTCTGCATGGGGCAGATATGCCACTTCGAGAGCAGCGCATCGAGGTAATTCAAGATGCTCACTCTGATTCACAATGTTTCTCGCCTCTAGAAGGCGGCAACAGTCACGCCGCGTAAGAGTTCAAGGGTGGCATATCTGCCCCAGACGGATTCGGTCATAAGGTGTTAAGTGCCTACAGTAAAGCAATTTCCCACCGAAAAATCAGACCCTTGCTGACGCAAAGTTAAACGAGTAGGACGATTATTCCGGAGAAAAATACACGCGATGTTTTAGCTCACTTTCTGTTGAACGATTATGCGCTGTTTTGGCTGCTCAAGATTGTCTCGTGCGTCTGACTTCCGCCCCTAACCCTCAGTCGGTAGTTGTCATACTCCCACTCGTCTTTGATACTATGAATGGTCTATGGGGCTAATCTGGGAAACTGGTACATTGGCGCCATCGAGAAGATTGCGAACGATTTCCTCAATCATTGAACTTCTTCCACCTCTAAGTCTCTTTCCATTGTAGTTACTGAGACGCCCCGGACAGGCACTTGATGGCTCATTTCCCGGTCTTTGTTGCAGTAGCAGTCCTCCCATTGAGCTTAGTGGTCACTTTGGCAGTTATTGCCGTAAAATGAGCTCACTCGACTCTCTTCGAATCCCCGAGGCCAAGAAGGACTACATCATCCAGAAGCTGAACCCCCTTCTGGAAGACATGGTTACTGAGTGTCTCACTCAGATGCCTAACGACCCCGTCGAGTTCATGATCAAGTACGTCTCTGTTGAATCCCTTCTCCTCTACACGGTCGCCATTTAGGTATTTACGTGAGAAGAAATCAGGTGGCTCCGAAGATACGTCCCTCGGGGATTCCCTTCAAGCTGAGAACAGTCAGCTGAAGAACGAAATAAACCGTCTTCGTGATATGCTCAAGCACAGTGTTGGCGGAGCTGCTGGGACTACCGATGGCGTACCGACTGCATGGGCCCTTAGTCGCAGACTACTCTCATTCAGGACAACGACTCTGTTTTGGATTCTGAGGATGACGAAGATGATTACGTTGATGAACTGCCAGCCAGCTTCGTCCAAAGTTCGGCTCAGCGCGGCAAGGCCCGAGCATCAGTAAGGCCTCTCCGTGCCAGGCTTCCGGCCGATAAGCTCCTTCGTTAAGGTGAGTGCAGAGGCCTATGGTGCTTGGAACGTAAAGAAGGAGTTTACACCCCCGGTGTATCCCAAGGAGGACGAGCAAAAGGCCAGGTACACTGCGACCGTTGACTCTTCTTGTAAACGATGTTGCTATGTCAGAATCAAGGACGTCCTCTCCAAGTCGTTCCTCTTCGCCGCTCTGGACAACAACGATTTTGCCATTGTCGTTGACGCTATGAAGGAGGTGCGTCTTGTATGTAGCCATTGGCCAGGCTTGATTGGTATCTCTGGTAGGAGACTGTGAGTGCCAAGGAACGTGTAATTAACCAAGGAGATGATGGCGACTTTCTGTTCGTCGTTGAGAGTGGTGAATTAGAGGTCTATAAGAAATTCCCAGTGAGTTATCATGACCTACAATCCTGCCCCGATGTGTATCAAACAGGGAGACGAGGAGGAGAAGATGCTGAAGGTGTGCGAGGTCGGTGACGTCTTTGGCGAGCTCGCCCTCCTCTATAACGTCCCTCGTGCCGCCTCTGTGGAGGCTAAGACCGACTGCACCTTGCTGAGGCTGGACAGGGAAACCTTTAACCACATCGTTAAGGTAGAGCGTTCATGATGTGCTTACTGAGGCCTATTTGAGCTTGTCTATCGGTCACTTTTCTTTTGCAGGATGCAGCAGCACATAAGCGTGAGCGTTATGAATCCTTCTTGAAATCCGTGCCACTGTTGAACTCCATGGACGCGTATGAGAGAAGTCAGATAGCTGACGCCCTCAAGCCCGTCTCGGTTGCTGCCGGAGAGATGATTGTCAAACAAGGTGAGTCTCGTATCGCGTCCAAGCAGCATTGCCGATGGGAATCTCCTCGAGCCTCCGTTCGGGTGATGTGGTCGATGACATGAAGTGTCTTCAAGCAGTTGGAGAGAAGACCTTGGTTTACGTGGAGCTTGTTCAGGTGAGCCCGGTGACACCTTCTACGTTATTGAAGATGGAGACTGTGAGGCCTTGAAGGAGCGCGATGGAGGCCAGCAGGAAGTGGTATGAGCATCTTATACCTCCTGTCCGTCCCAGGCTCATCATCAGGTTATGTCTTATGGCACTGGGGACTATTTCGGCGAGCTCGCTCTTCTCCGTGGGGAGCCTAGGGCAGCGAGTATTAAGGCCAAGACGGACACCAAGCTTCTCGCTCTAGACAGGTTATCGCGAGTTTGCCATTCCGTGAGATTATGCTCGTGTCGTTCAGGCGCAGCTTTAAGAGATTGCTCGGACCCCTCCAGGAGCTGTTGGTGAAGGCATGTGATCGATATGCGAATTAGACCACTAGAGGCTATTCTATACCCGCAAACCATGTTGTTTAGTCATCTTTTCCCTCTCGCTATTGGACGTGGGGATGTCTGTGCTTGATAAGTGGCGATACCATGAAGCGTAATAAATTTATCGTGGTGATGTGCTGGTTGGTAGTGTTAGTAAGATCAATCCTTTAAGGGTAGTAAGGTGCGCCTTTCGTGGTATCAGTGAGATGTGCCTGCCCGTGGTATGGCATTGGATTGGGCTGCTGAAATCCTACACAGTGTCCTTTCCTGATCGGCTATAATGCCCAATACGCTTCCTGCTAATAGAAGTGATGGTACTGCTGCAGGGATTCTCCCCAGCCATCGCCCTACTGAGAGGACTGTAGGTGTCTAGTTCACTCCTTGGAGATGACTTCCTTCCCACGGTCTTAGCGGCTTCTTCGGGACCGCCGGTGTATCTTTTTCTCAGGAGAAGTTTTCTCCCCTGTAGGCGAGCATTCAGGTTTGTGTACTGGACGGCCATAGTCTAACTTGTGAGAAGCTGATGGAGTTGTCGAGTGGTAATGTCGAGCTCACCCTCTCTGCAGCGGCCTGGGATAAGGTAGAATACGTCACCGTCTAAGCCGGTGGTATGGCCCTAGGCAGGTCAATAGGGGCCGCCATGTGATCGATCAAATACTGGATAAGAACGAGGTGGCCTATGGAATTAACACTGGCTTTGGTATGTTCTCGGACGTCATAGTCGCGCCAGATCAACTCTCTCAGCTGCAGGTGAGTGCGCAGCATATAGAAGCTTGACGAGGTCATGACCCTTTGCAGGTGAATCTGATCCGGTCCCATGCGGCTGGGGTTGGACCGCCTCTCTCCCGGGAGAGGACCAGGATGCTTTTGGCTCTCCGGGTTAATGTGATCGCATGTGGCCATTCTGGAGCTAGACCCGAAACGGTGGAGAAGATGCTCGCGGCTTTCAATAGGGATTGTCTATCGGTGGTTCCATGCCAGGGTACTTGCATATCACTCAACGTTTTCTTACTGGTTTACTTTGTCGATAGCCTCGTCTCGTTGGGATCAGGTACGGTCGGCGCCTCGGGTGATTTGGCCCCACTAGCTCATCTTTGCCTGGGGTTGCTTGGAGAAGGGCTTATGTGGGATCCACAGTCAGCTGAGCCCAAACCCGCTGGGGAAGTCCTTGAAAGGTCATTGATCTTTGCGCAGTTGATCTTCCTATTCGATCGCCCCTAGGCATGGACTGGAACCCCTGCAGCTGGGTCCTAAGGAAGGACTAGCTTTGATTAACGGGACGCAGCTGATTTCGAGCCTTGGAAGCGAAGCCGTTATGAGGTCGATCAACGTAGCAAGATGCGCTGATATCACCTGTGCTCTGTCTCTGGAGGTCCTTATGGGTGAGGTCTCCTCACTTGGAGAAGAGGAGTATGTTGTAGTCTGGCAGGCACCCATAACGCCTTCCACCCTAAGATCCATGCGGCGAGGCCTCATAGCGGACAGAACTTGGTGGCATCTAGAATTCGCGGCTTATTGGAGCCTGAGAAACCGTCGAAGCTATTCGAAAGTCATCGATACAGTGGGAAGGTGCAGGACGCATATACTCTACGCTGTGTGGCGCAAGTAAGTACTTATAAGGAAGCGGCATCGAGATCATTCGCTCCGCTTTGTGCGGTGCCTGAAAAAATTGGTGATATGCATATCCTGCTTCACAGGTCCATGGAGTTGTTTTTGAAACTATTGATTTTGTCAAGCGTTTGCTGGAAGTCGAGCTCAACTCGGCCACCGACAACCCTATGATTTTTACTGGAGGGGCGGACTTCTATCCGACTGGTAGCGCCAAGGCCCCCGCGTGCACCCGCGGTAGGATTGTCTCCGGAGATGGAGCTGCCGCTTCGAAAGGTAGGCTGTGAATCTCCGGAGAGTCGACTAAAGTAGCTGTCGATTCTAGGTAGTGCGGCGACCACACCAGCAGGGGTGTCCTCGTTGAGTCCTATCCACTCAACGCCCCATGACAGCAGCCTTAATCTCGATGATAGTGTAGGATGCAGGTCCTGGTTAGTGGTTGACCATCGTGGTAGTTCCCTCTTCTGGACGGCCCTGACGATGCAAGTGACATCTCTGACTTGAATGGCGCCCGTAAGGAAATCCAGAAGATGCGGGCCCTTCTCAAAAACTTCAAACAGGAGAACACAGCCCTCAACGTACGTCCTCTACCAAGCAGTAGCTTTCACCGTGGCAAGCACGTATTTCGTTAGACTCACCTCATGGAGACCCTATTGCTTGGTACTAGTGGCTTCATTATTTCCGGTGGCAACTTCCATGGGGAGTAATCAGTGTTGTTGGCTCAAGGGCACCGCGACTGCCTCGTAGATATCCCGCGAAGGCGCTGGACTATTTGGCGATAGGCATACAGGAGCTGGCTAACATCTCGGAGCGCCGCATAGAAAGGCTGGTCAATCCGGCCCTGTCGAATCTCCCCGCATTCCTCGTTCAAAACGGCGGTCTTAACTCGGGATTCATGATAGCTCATTGCACTGCTGCTGCGCTAACCAGCGAGAATAAGGTATTCCTTATTGCCTCAGCAGCGCTATGATTCTAACGTTCAGGTTCTATGTCACCCGTCATCTGTGGATACTCTATCTACCTCTGCGGCTAAGGAGGATCATGTATCCATGGGAGGCTACTCCGCAAGGAAGTGCCTTGAGGTCATCTCCAATGTCGAGGTCGTCATTGCTATTGAGCTCATGGCTGCTTGTCAAGTGAGTCGATACAGGGACCCTGCAGACTAGGAGATCCTTTATGCTAGGCCCTCGAATTCCACCGACCCTGTCGCACTACGGTGCCACTAGAGGCCGTATATGATCTTATACGGTCGGCCGGTGTAGATCCATATGATGAGGACCGCTACATAGCCCCGGACATTGACAAAGTCACCGATCTCGTTAGGTAGGTTAGATCAGGAGGTGTTACTATGGTTAGTAGGTCGCGTTAGGTCTGGTGCGGTATGGAGAGTGGTGGAACCTTACCTTAAACAACGAGAGGAGAGCCAAATCGACGAGGTCTCCCCCATTGACATGATGCCGAGGGGTGATATCCTCACCCTAAGCCGGAAGCTTTAATAGCTCGCACGAGTTGGGTAGACCGGGGAAGTAATTTGACTTGGGAGCGCCTCCATGTTTCTATATCCATTTTCAACTTTTTAGTTAATGTCTCAATCAGTCTCTATGCGAGTTGCGTTAGCCCGCTCGGAAGTCTCGTTCGTCTGTCATCGCTGAAACTAATCGTCGAGGCATGGACTTTCAAATCCGATTTTGCCCTAGGCCGCTTCCGCGTCCATCTGCCGTCACCACTGAAACGCTTGATGTTTCTCCTGACCGCCAGGCTTTTTGTCAGCATGCCGTAACTTGCCTCATGTTGAATGCAGCTCTGCTCGATAGTGGCACACTTGGGCCTTCTGTGGCTATCATGACTTTCAACAGAGTTTTAAGGTCATATCTGTCGTGGTTGAGTTCACCACTTCTGTTGTCACATACCGCTTCAATGCAAGTTTCCTCTCCACATGGCCACTGCTATTCCGAAGATCGTAGGTAAGGCACGCAAAGGCTCCAAAGCTGCGTTGGCTGCGAATAAGCGCCTCATGCTTAGAGGGGCTCCTCCTGTCGGGGCGGTGTATAAAATGTCCCCGGTCGAGCTACGACGCAGCATGCAGAAAGTAGCACGTGAACGCATCTGGAAGAATGACCTATGGGAAGCTTATATGTTCCGGGCAGCGGCGCTCCGAACTGAGCTGCTGGTTACAGATCTCTGCCTGATTCTAGACGCTACAGCTTTGGGGAAGAAGCGCTCGCCGGCCTTGGCCCGGTTCCTGTTAGACGAGGTAGTCCGTAAAGGCAACAACGTGAACTATAAGATGTCGTTTCGTGATGTTGTGATGGCCCTCAACGCTGGCGCAAAGATGCGCCTTGGCGGAGACAAGCGGTGGGCTGACGAGTTAGTCACGATGGGCCTCCGGAGGATCTCAGGGACAGATCGGCATGCTGTCTCTCCGAATGACATTGCTCTCTTTTTGCATTCCCTCACGCGCCTGTGCGTGAGTACGACCCAGATGGAGGCGGCCCGGAACAGTGTGGCCAGTGAGGTGACGCCGAGAATACCCAAGCTGACGGACGGCCACACCCTGTCGCTTCTACTGCACGGTTTCAGTCCCCTGGGGAGTGCAGGGCTGGAGGAGGCACCGGAGTATGAGGATCGAGGAGACGAGGAAGAGGCTGAGGAGGACGAGCCTTTCGAAGAACATGGTAGGGAGGATCAGAGAGACACGACTAAGGAGAATGCCATAACACACAGGCCGGTGTTGAAGATGCTGTTCAAGCAGGTTGTCGAGCATATCAATAAGGAACGAGTGTTCAATAATATGGATGTGGCCCACGTCATACTGGCTGTTGTCAACATATATCGTCGTTCCCCGAAAGAGCTCGAGCCGAACGGTTTGGTTCCTCCTAGTCTCATACCCGCATTGAATGGACGTATAGAGGAGTTAACGGCCAAGATGAAGCCACGCGACATCGTTCGATTCATGCGGTACACTGCTCAGCTACCGGTTATCGATACGGGCAAGCTTCTGCCTGAAATACTATATAGGATTCGCCATTTCACTCCAGCGTCCTGTCTGGAGATTCTCAGACTACTACGCCAAAATCCTGGCTACGACGAGCACGGCAAAGTTGAGTCCACCATTTTCTATCGGCTCATTCGTGGGGATTCGGCGAGATTCCTCACATTCGAACAGGTCTGTCATCTAGCCGGCGTGGTCCTCGAGGATTCTCCCACTTGGGAGGCCCGAGAGTGTCTGCTCACATGCTTGTTGAAGTTTAAGGCCAAGAACGAGGGAGTGCCGCCACCTGAAGTGGTCATCCACGCGATCAGCGTCTACTCTCGGCTGGGCATCCGAGACACGCATTGGGTGCACGTTTGCAACAGCACGCTGTACCCTCTGCCGGAGCTTCCACCCCCAATCCTGGCAATGCTCGCCTCGGCGCTGGCTCGACTCTCTCTTCCTACGGTAGCAGATCAGTTGGGGGTTTACGTGGCGGCTCAGAATTCTGATTGGAACTCAGCGGAGCCATCAGCTGCAGCTTCACTCCTCTATTCAGCTGCGCTATTCGCACTGCAACCTCCTGGGCGGCAGCCTGAGACGATGACGGCAGAAACGCTGCAACCAGCACTTGCCCGAGCACGACGCGTCGCGAAGAAGAATCCGGAGGTGGCCTCCGCTTTGGGTCTTTTCGCCGTTACAGATGTGGGAAAAGCCATGGGAGCGACAGCTCCTCTAGTACAAACTAATCGGCCAAGATGCGGCTTTGAAGTGTCCTTGCTGGACCACATACGACAAAACTGGTCGGGAGTTGACATAATCGAGAACGCGGTGACTGTGGGGCCTGTTGTGGCCCTAGCTGCGATATCTCCTATACAAGTCGCCGCCTTCGCTCAGAGGCGGGCAGCAATCTCGGAGGGAGACTATGGTGATGAGTTCGAATTTCCCAAGGCGCCCCCTTTGAAACCGGACGACTGGGTCATTTTGGAGGCTCTTTCGGACGGCCACAAGACTTGGTATAGGAAGCTTTGTATTCGCTACCGCCGTATCTACGTTCATTCAGGTATCATTACTCTGAAGCCTTGGCGTCACAAACGATGAGACATCGCCGACACACTGTGAACGCAGCGAGATACGCAGAGCTGCAGGCCTTGCGGACGAAGGGGTACCGAGTTCTCTGCGTCAGCGAGTACATGTGGCCGGGTGACTCTGAGAAGCGTACGGACGTTATTCTCGACCAATTCGCTCACTTGGCGAGCGGAAAGAGAGAAGTTGAGTGGAAGAGAGTCGTGGAGGACAATACTCCTGTTGCGAAAAATGATGTTCTCAACCATGTCTCTGATTCATCGTGATGTTTCTGATCACCAGTATGTTTCTTGACAGCAAGTTATCGGACACAACTTACGTTTGGATAACATCCCACCTCACAGCTGTTGACTCACGTGGACTTCGATACAAAACCCGGTGACGCGACAGGGAGGCTATGATGAACAGCGATCGAGGTCAACTTCGGTTAAGACTCCATAATGCTGCCTTGATTCAATCTTAAACATGTTAGTTTAACGTCATGACGTACACAACTGTGAGCAAGCAAGGATGGAACTTGGATGCGTATTGCCAAACTCGCGTGCATAAGTCAAACTTGTGCAGTATATTGTTAATCTTGATCATGGTATATTCTGGTCGTGTCAAACTCGGTTGTAACAAAATAGACAAGTGACCAACTTGGATTTTCATTGTCAATCTTGATTGTAACATAATTAGATTGCGACATACCTGAATTCTAAGAGTCAAACTTGATCGCAACACCGTCGTTCCTGCCTGCTCATTCGTTAAACTTGCGCAGGAAAAGGGGTAGACAGGTCACTCGTTGACACTCGGTGGACGGATCCACTCAAAGTCGTGATCGGGCCGTCGATTGATATTTGAGATAGCCGGTGCTAGCGACCCTGGCAATACAATCACGAAGTCGGATACATACACCAGATGATACTCCAGCTGCGGCCGCCAAGGTTCACAGGAGTGCCAACAGTAATCGTCCAAAGAATTTTCACGTTTCGTTAAAATTCTACGTGAATCATGAACGCTCCTATATTCATTGTCCAGCTGTCTCCTCTGCACAAGCAGGGCCGCACAGTCGGAAGACGAAGGCAGCTGTAGTGGCCGACCGGAGTCGACTCACACATAGCGAACAATTGATAAAACTTAGCCAACAAACTGACCAGCGAGAGCGGGCAGATCCGCCCACCATCACTCATTTGTAAAAAAGCCCTGCACACCATGCGATCAGTCTCAGTATATGCGTGCCCCATGATGTACATGCGTTCGTTCGGAACTGTTCATTGGAAACCATTTTTCATTATTTTTCCGGTCGAACTTATTGTTCCATAATACATCGGTATTACATTATTATGCTGATTCTCTCGCGAATAACCCTGAATCTTCCATTGTATCTGAATGGCCACTGACTCAGTGGCACTGAGAAGGCCGTGATTGAGTCATAAGACTCTACAATATTGTGCGACCGACGACAGCCTCGTGTCAGCGCAAAATTAGTGACGGAACAGTTTTTCCCTACGCTACTTGCTCAATCAATGGTGTCACGTTTTGCTCATTTCTCATCTTTTTCACTTCCCCATCTCTCATTATGTCGAGTTCTCTCAGTGGGCAGGCGCTCGTACAATATGGCCTTCCCTTCGCTGCATCTTTCAGGATAGTTCATCCGTAAATGAGGTCCCTTACCTCGGTATTACTCTTCCTCTTGGTGGCACATCGTCCGACGATAGCTTGGCTCGGGCTAGAAGAGAAACTTCCGCGCTGGCTCAGTAACAATATTATTTACCGCAAGTATCAGGCTGGCGACGACTCGAGCCGCGTTCTCGAGGATCTTGCTATTCTCTGTACACGAGAGGATGTGTTTTGTTTCGTCGCGGTAGACACTTCTATCAGCGCGAAGGTGAGTCTCTGAGTGTCAAATATGTCCAACCACGAATTCATGTTTGCGCCTGCAGCCTAGAACCTGCGCCCTGGAGTGTTAGTGCAATGCCTTGAGACTATTGCTTTCTGTTGGAGGAATGCAATGCATTCCATCATGTCGCTGAGCTCGGCTCGCCTCGCGGATAAGTGTTTTATCGGGTTTTCAGGCCGTTGTCGGCTATATCGAAATGGAAATTCCTGCTTACATGCCGGATCCGAGAGTGATGGACGCTATTCTCGAGAAAATGTAAGCGACAATTCTCTGATACTCCAGCGGTAGGAGAGAATCGGGGGATCCTTCGTCTCTGAGGATAGTGTCTTTGTGAGCATTCTTCTGCAGGCCCGCTCCAAGTAAGAAGAAGAAAGATAAAGTCATTGGTTATATAGCTTATGTAAGTCGGCAGCGTGATATGACGCTGATTGGATCATCGAAATTGGTTGTTGAAAAATCAGGTAAAAGTGGCTGCGTCCTCTCGAGGCCAAGGCATTGGAACGGACCTTATTTCACGTACCTTCAACTATGTGAGTGCTGTTTTCTCCGGGTTCATTGCAGAAGACATGCGAATGTTGTCGATGTCGACTACTTTAGCTCGGCCGAACCAGGCCCAACTTGGTCGCCATGTACCTAATGGTAAATGAGGACGATAAAGCAGCCATTGCTTTGTATAAGAAGACGCAGTTCGTGATGCTCACATGTGAGTAGTTGGAAAGCAATCTGATATGCTAACACATACAGAATCGCTATGCTACTGTGGTCGTCTGTATTTGAGTGATTGAGTATCCCCGACGATCCTCTCAGACCAGGACAAAGATACTCTCTATTACGCGCGTTATAACATGAAGTAGATCGCAGTGGCTCACAGAGTTCTATCACGGAGCCGTCTTTCTACTTCACGTAAGTATATGCCTTTCATCGCAGATAGGTTAGTTGATCATCTTAGGACCATCATGTGAATTCCATAGCTTTTCTCCCGTTTTTCGAGAGAACCGGACCATTTCTTCTTCAAGGAGTTATTCGGTCTGCAAAAAACTCGATTGTTCGACAAGCAGCACATGTTCTCTCGCACCAACCCAAGCTGGCCCAATTTCTCCAATGAGAAACTCTGAGTGAGGATGGCTTGTGCTTGACAATGACTCTTAATTTTGCTGGTTGAACGGAAGCTTCCTCTGAATACCGGTTCTTGTATAGTGTTAACTTAATGAGTAGCGAGAGGATGGGAGTGAATCAACAACCAATAAGAAGAGCTCACTCAGTGCTTTGGAATGGTAGCCGTCGGCTTCTATCTACATTCATCTGACACTCAATGAGAAGTTACGTAGAGTGGGCCCTGCATTTCGATCATGCTGTAGACGGTTATGGAATGTCCGTGTGCGAAGCACTGGTGAATTATGGAAGCCTCGTTGTTGCGCATTCCTCTCGAGATCAGTGAACGTGTTTATCAGTTCTTTAGTTGCGATCAACTCGTCTCTGCCGCCCCGTGATTTCTTTTGCCGCTGTTCCCAGATGCGCGGTTTCTCTCGTCTTCGACTAGTCCAGCAAACTTCCCCTTCAGCTATTGTCTTGCACGCTAGCTCTGGCAACTCTTATCTGCCACCTCGCGAAGCTCTCATAGTTTCTTCTCTAACAATCGAGATTTCATTAGCGCCCTAAACTAACCTCGGCCTCGAATATTCGTCCCATAGAGAGTATGATATAACAATCGCGCTTGAAGAGTATGACGTCCCTCCACCTGCTACGACAAGGTGAACTACAACGAACTAACCAGATAAGCCGGCCTCGGAATCACTATGTAGGGATGGTCGTGGTCACTACGAGAGCCACACAGTGTCCTACTGCCAAAACACACCACTTGAGGACTCTGGTCGTGCTGTTCTACCACACCTCGCTGGCAGCAAAATGAGTTGCACTGCATATTGAGCGATCGGAACGGATGTCACATCAAAAGATGTCGGGGGAGGACATCAAGCTGTGGCCTTTCTAATCTCACGGGAGGACATAGAGCTCCAGCGGGAATCAGCTACAGTTCATGATGGGACCTGAACACGGTGGGCGTTGTCAGAGTATTTCAGCAGCGGTACACCATTTATCGCAGAAAATTAGCCTTTGGTCAGCTCAGATGAGCGACCGCCAAGACCAATTATTGGTCGCCAATATGCATTGTCCGTCGTGGGCATGGTATGCATCATCCATAACCTCCTAAGTTGGACAGCTCGTGATTCATTGGATTCGAACTCACTTCGGAAATGGGTCATCCCATCAGTTATGAAGTCTGTTGGTGACTCCTCAAGCCTGAAGGAGTATTGGTGCCGTCGAATCTCCATATTCTCGTCTTGTAATGCCATGCGTTGCCGGTACATCTTTATGAAGTTGATGCTGTTGATTCCATCTCTGCTCGTTTCCAGTCCCAGCTCGCTGTCCAGAACCATCCAACGATCGAGACCATCTCTCGGGCCGCGGGACCTCCGGATTTATCGCTGGGTCGAATGGGAACGGGTGACCGATCTCACGTGAGTAATGCCTCCACCGCTCACGATATCTCAGAATAGGCGCTGTGGTGGTGAACGGAGAATTCAGTGAGCGAGCGGGTTGCAGACTGGGTAGGCTAAAGTCATCGAGCTGAGCCAACAGTGTCTTGGACCATCCCAGGCTCCGGCGTGGGACTCGACGCACGACTGATTCTTGATCGGACAATGGACACTCTCAGACGATTTGCGAAGCTCTCATTGAGCATCAACTATATGAGCTCCTTGATATTCAATGCAATTCATGGACCCAGACCTTTGCAGACTTTTCAGTCTGATCGTGCAGTGCCTCATACGCAACCTGGGTATCAGCTTCGAAGCTACAAGACTTGGGCATGAACATCCCGCCGGGCATCTAGACCAGCTGTTCTATCACTGTGAAGAACAATGCGTCTCGGGAGTGAAGCGAATGAATCCACTAATGAATCCACTAATGAATCCACTAGTGTCTACACAGAAGCCCCACGCGCGTCAGTACCGCCAGCGGTTGACGGTCAACCCGATTACCTTGTGTACGCTAAGATCCCCTAGCATGAGGACGAGGCTACCTGATAGCCACCACCACGTCTGCTACCCACCGGGAGTAGAAGGAAAACTTTCTCGACTGAGAAGCCGCGGTGAAGCATTTTGGACGGCAACAGTAGACGCATCCTCAGGGAGGACATCCAAGCAAACCCAGCGAGAATACAGAGATTGCAGAGTAACCCACATGTGAGCAAGCCGAACGGCAGGGACTCCCGTGGGAGTCTATCCATCCCTTCACAAGCTTTCAGTCAGGGCCTCACGCTCTCTACTGACGCTGTACCTAACCTGGATGGATCATTCGTTGCCAAGTTTTTCTCATAAAGGGTTCTTCGTGCACGAGCAGAAATGTGGCGAATTGCCACTATGTGTGGCGGTACTGTGCGGCACAGTATTAGGACGACCTTTGGAAGCTTCTAGGAAATCTTATCCAGAGACGACTTCATCACGAAAAGTCTAGTCATAGTCCTGTTATCAACGCCGCCAGGACACGCCCATGATATCTTCGTGTGATTCTCACGGTGACCATGTTCCCAGCTTTACACACCGAGCGAAGACTCCCAACTAGAAACACAGCGCGCTGATTAATAGTCGAAATGATAGAGATGACCGAGTTCTGACGTAGAGATGATGGTGAAGATGATGACGATGATTTTTATGACGATATTAATCTTGGGTAATATAGCTACAATAATGGTAATATGTGGAATCAACTTTCAGCGGCGGCGCTGCTTTGACTTGCGAACGCCGGGCTATGCTTAAGATACTGTAAATGTGGTGTCCAGAAGGATGCAGCAGCAGCTGCGGCGGCGGCGGCAGTTGCTCCTTGAGAAGAGGCAGGTTGAAGTCCAGGAGACGTGAAGGTCAATGATGGGAACGTCGATGCGGGAGTACTAGTATTAGAGCCAGCAGCAGCTGTTGGAGTTACAGCAGTAGTCGCTGACGATGCCGAGCATGTGCTGGTATTACCGATACCAGTAAAAGCAGCCCCCGTGGATGGTGTGTGATAAGGTAAGAACGTTGGGCTGAGAGGGAAACCAGAAGATGTCTGCGCTCCCTTCGGGTAGAGGCTGCCTAAAGACCCAACAGCGCTCTCTTCCAGTTGGATGTCGTCATCAATGATCGGCCCATCAACACCATTAGGCCCGCCAGGAGGAGCTGCGCCTCTGAAGGGAGTGAGCTGTGTGGCAGGGAATGCTGGGCTCCGCAGATACTTAGGTAAAGCTGAGGAGAACATTCGACTTGACAATAGGGGTGAACCAGGGTTGAACAAAGGTGATAAGGGTACATACGACGACGACGAGGCTGAGGTTGACGATGAAGTGGTTGCCGTGGTAGGGGTAATAGTCCGCGCCCTTTTAGGGTCAGTGGTGACCCTTTCATTAGCGCCCGCTAGGTTAGCAGGGATTTCAACAGCAGTAGTATTGAGAGAGCCCTCACCACCGAAGAGGACACTCTGAGCCAATCCAGTCCTGACCGGTACAGTATCCCCCTTAACAGTAGCAGCATCTTTAGCATCTTCCGACTCCGATCGATCTCGCTTCCTCGTCCTAGCTAGCGGCGTACTACTACTATTCTTCCCACCCATAGGCCTTGGCCAGACAGCAGACGGATAGGGCATCATGAACGGCATCATACTACCAGGGCGAGCAGCAGCAGCAGTGCCATACACAGCCTGAGCCAGAGACGGGACGACCCCTGGTCTCCTCGACTGCTGTGCGGCGGCCAAAGAACTCTGGACGGACGGCCGTGGATCAGATGGGCCCGAGTTGGATGAGTTATGAGTGCCTCGCTCCGCTCGCAGCTTTGCAACTACTTCCCTTATCATCGTATGACTCTCCTCCGCAATAAACGACTCCCTGGCTTGATCAGACTCGAAGACCTTATGCTGCTCCTCGATCATTCGCTCAACCTTGGTCCTAGCCGAGTCGACTGAGTCTTCCATAACCCTCCGATCCGACACAGCATCGGCCAGATTCCGCCGCACAGGCCCGTAGATTCGTTTCTTATTGACGTAGATGGTAGCGTTATAACCTCCATTATTACGCCACACGCCCTTGGGTGCTGCATAAGGCTTCTTCCTCCGCTTTATCCCCGCTACCGCCTCAGCTGCGGCTGCCGATCCACTCCGCTCCGTATCTCCTCTCATCATCATCTCGCCACCCTGGCCATAACCCCTCGTGCCGGGATAGCCCTGAGAATACCATGGATTGCTCATCGCAGCCGCATAACTCCACTGGTTATACTGCAGCTGTTGAAACTGCTGCCAAGTCTGCGTATCATAGCCAGCCATAGCCGTCCCCATCTGCTCGCTTGCCCCACCAACAGAGGGGCCTTGTTCCGGGCCCATATCCAGAGTAAGCTCGCCGTACTTCAAATCGTCGTTGTCACCATCTAGAGTGCAACAATCCTCATTTATCGCCACCAAAGGAAGAGTGCCCGCATCCGACTCAGCCATATGATCGCTGGAATCAATACAACTACTACCGGGAGACTTATCAGCCTTAGGAGTGGTGATGCCGCAACCAAGGTCGAGGGTCTTGACATCGACACTATGCTCCGAACTTCCAGGAGAGTGAGCACCAGCAGATATCAAAGCTGCTGTGAGCTGGCCAGACATCCCACCAGCCGGCTGGGCTGTTGGGGAGGACATGCGAGGCTCAGCCTCCCCAAGTGGTGACCCCGACGACGAAGGTACTGGCCCTGTTGTGGCTGTTGACCCTCGCTTCATTTGGGCATGAGCAATAAGTGCCTGCTGCTGTTGTAGTAGCATATACTGCTGCATCTGAATCTGTTGGTTCATATTCTGGAGTTGTGCCGCGGCCATAGCAGCTCCCATCATCGACATAAATACCGGATTGTCCCCATCACCCCTACCTGGTGCCGAGCCAGCCGCCTTGTCACCATCATTACCAATGCCCTCCAACAGGTTAGGTGGTGACTTCTCCTGCTGACCATAGCTGCCATCACCATTCATCATACCAACCGCATTGACCGTATCAGATATCGGGTAGAGCTGCGAGGCAGACTCTTGCGGCCGAGCCGAGATAGTCGTCAGTTGTGGAACCAAATCGGCGGGCGAAGTGGACCCATCAGGTCCCAAACAGCGTGATTCCGTGCCGAACGCTGAGGCCTCTGGTAACCTCTCTGACATTAATCAAAGAAAGCACAACTGCTGGACAACGACTCGATTCACACGACGCAAGTTGACAACCAGCGAGCACGCGAATTCAGCCAAACTAAGAATCTCACTTCTTGCATTCTTGCATTTCCTCAACGAAGGAAATTGTCAAGACTTCCCAACGCACAAGTCTTACAGCGAAACACTCAACAACTACTGATATGAACTCGAGCGATGGAGAGATAGAAACTATCATTGGCCTGTTCATTTTCTCTGTAGACCAGCCCAAGGCAGGACCCTAGAGCCAGCGGGTAAAGACGCAGAATATGGCGGCAACGAAGCACTACTCGAGGAGGGACAGCTGTCCCCCGTCGGCTCGTCATCATCAGAGTCGGCATTCAAGAAATCGGCGAAACTCGACGGTGCTGCGGTACTCGTTCTGACACGTTTGGCTTCATTGAAAATTGGAGCTGCTGCTGCTGCTGCAACGGGTTGGTCCCGAGTCCGCTTAGCAGCTCTCGATGCACTTTTTGCCTTCGGTTTCGCCTTGGCCTTTGCTTTGCCCTTAGCCTTCGCCTTGGCTCTTCCTTTAGGCTTAGCCGCCACCACCGGTCGATGGAACTCATCCTCGGAGGCATCAAACTCGTCCTTAACAGTAGGGAGCCTCCCTCTAGAAGTGGTAGAAACAGATCCTCTCGATGACGATGACGAAGACGATGTTGTTACTGCTGCTGGAGATGACAGATCCCCTCTGGAATTCTCCGCCTACAATGCGAACATTAATTTCAATTATAGGATTCATAACTTCGCTACTTGCGATCCTTCCACGTTCGTGCGCCTCACCATCTCAGCTCTTGTTCTAGCAGCCTCCCGAATGACCCCTTCTTGAGCTGGCACATGGCCTCGATCAGCTTCGATGGACTCGCTCGTCTGCTTCACCACCTCCGACACGAACTGTGTGATTGCAGCGGTCTCGTTCTTATGGACGTACCTTCGAATCACGTTTAACTATAACACAGCTCCCCCATTTCCTCCGGGGACCCATCTAGCATTGAGAAATGACGTTCCTCAGGGTTTCATAACAATGGGGAAATGATGATATTCACATGGGAAACTGATTGAACAATGTGTTCCTAGACATATAGGAAATTCAAAATGAGTTTCCTCAGGGTACATTATAGGTTTCTGGATGATTCCCTGCTTCCCATGCACAGCCTACTCCTGGACAACCTCGTTGAGCCTGGTCTCCGGAATGAGGTCGAGGCAATCAGCACCATTGACGTAGTGAAAGATGATATCCTGCATCATATCCCTGTCGGCCGTAGTATCATCATCACTCGATGCTCCAGCGGGCACATGATCTTCCAGGTTCAGTTGGACTGATGGTGACAGCTAGATTTCCTCCTATCACCCCCCCCCCCATGGTGTGACATACGTTCATTTTTCTTTTGCTTCGCTGGTCGTTTTTTCTTCTTGTGAAACAACAATATATCAGCCGGGTTAGCAACCTCCTCGAGGAACTGCTGACCAAATTTCTGATTCGGTATAACAGGATAGCTACTGCCAACAGGCAGGCCGGGGATTCCCCCGTCATCACCATCATCTTTCTCTACTGTGACATCCACTCGCACTCGTATCAACGGTCGAATCTGCCAACAATGTTCCTCAGCCGCTCTTCCGATGCCGCATTACCGCACGGGCCGAGTCGCGTTTATACAAGGGGGTCAGCCTGGTGTCTTCTAGCCACTTCTTATACGCCAATACTTGTGCCTTGCCGAGCTCTTTGCCATGGTCGACCATCCTTCTCACAACGTCGCTGAGGGAATTCCACGCCTACAGACTGTCAATGACTCGCAAGGGCCCTCGATACCCCAAAGGAAGCCACTCACCAGTTCTTCCATTTTCTCCCCGCTACCGTCCAGTCGGCTCTCCCGCTGAGCGATGAGTTCCTTCATCGACTGAGCTCAACCACTATTCAAAACGCCACAGAGGAGAAATGCCCTCACCACATCCTGCACTAGCAGTGGCCGGGGGCTCGTTAAGGGTATAGGGGTCGTTCGCCATCCTCGACCTTTGAGGAGCTCCAACAAGAAGATATGCTTGGGGAGGCTCTCACCAGCAGAAAGGGAAGTCTGCACCTTATCACAACGTAACGATGACCCAACCAGCCGAGCACTAGATCCTGGCAAGTACTGATGATCCTGGCTGCAGCACAGAGAAGCCTTGGGCTGTCTCCACTGGATCGATAATCGACTCATGTTCGTGACCCCAAACGACTAAGTCCAAGAAACCTGACCACCAACACCCAAGGTCGTCAGCCTATGTCGACTTCGAGTGAATACCTGGTAACTGTGAATTCTGCAAAGAGCTGCTCCCCGGCACGCCTCCCGCTACCCCTTTATACCGATTCTGGTGGACCAACATAACAGAAAAGTATTCACTTTCCGATTCCGAACCGCCACGGCCCGGAGGGATTTCGAATCTGACCTGAAATATTCGGAAGCCTCGCGGGCTGATACAACTCCAGAACCTCCACCTTGCCAGCGTTAATCGCTCTGTTGAGTCTTTCATCCCGCATGTTCCCAAGGCCATACAACGCTAGTTTCGTCTCGCCCTTCTGAATGAGAATCGGACGGATAACGATTCGGTCCAAGTCCATCTGCTGACCGAAGTAGTTGACCTGATGCGACCGTAGAGAGCTCGGATAGAGCCGCTTGAAGAAAGGCAGTAAACGATGCCAACGCAATAATTTGAAATCAGAGCTGCAGCAATCACGCATTCAATGTGTCTGTGTGTCAGGTTAAAGCCCAACGCCGTGGCCGGCTAGGTTAGACACATTCCGTGCCGAATCGCGGATTTGGAAACAAGACCGGTATGGATACTCACCAATCGATTCGTGTGAAGTAAGTCGATTACCGACATGTTGCCGAGCCCGCCCGGTTCATCATGATTACCATGTATCATGAATCTAGCAGGCACACTATACACAAATAACCTCGCTAAGAGCCTTACACTGGAAGCCCGACGTTGTAGTTAGGATCCTCATAATTCGGCGGCTCGTCCCGAACAATGCCGTTCTCATCCTGTGTTGGCAGAACCTTGAGGGGTCATCATCAACCAGCGACCTCCCAGGTCAATGCTCACTTCGATCTTGATGGGCTGATCTCCCATCACTGTTTGCCGTAAAATCTCATTCACTTGTTTCATGGTCAGACGATCTGGCCTGAGGAAAAAATTACCGCTCGTTTGACACTAGAACTCACCTCGCGATATCAAACAGGTCACCACCATGAACAACTAGGTCGACTTGTGCCAATTTAGCTCTTTGCATTGCTTCCTCAAATGCACATACAGAATCAAGGCTCCGTACAGGGTCGTCCTAGAGACCAATGAATGGTGATGGTGGACTCAATAGCCCGCTCACCTGCTTATGGCCCACATGGTTGTCCGTGATGATCATAATCCTCATCAACGACGCATCATCACCATCAGAGGAGACTGATGCCATTCCCGATGAGGAGCAAAAATCAAACAACGACAATTACCGCGCGCCACGAATTTCACAACAGCTCAGGTAGAAGCATATTGACAACTCAGTGCGCAAAGCCGTTAGCGACGACAACCGGTCATAAAATAACACATCACACGAACAGCATCTGAACATGGTTAGATAAGTTGTATCAAGTTTCACCGACAAAACGGCCTCCAAAACATATCCAAGCCCTCCAGTTGTCAGAGTGGGCTCTTTTATATGAGAACTGTGAAAACTCCTGAGAATCACGAACGTCACTAGCATGCGCATCACCGAACCATCCTTACTGCATAGTCCCCTTCATCACCATCCGAAACGTCGTTGTCCTTGAGCAAAGGCTCTTGCTCGGGTGGGGTGGGAGGCGGAGGGGCTGTTGGTGCTGCTGGTGATGGCGCCTTGGGTTTATCATGATCAACAGCAACTTCCTCTCGAATGATCGTATGAGGAAGCCAGGGGTCCGAGCCAGGATGGAGATGAAGATCAACCTTCTGTTGCGGATCTCGTGGTGCCTATCATTTGCGCGAGCACCACAACCATCACATCAAAAACTGTGTTGGAATATATGTTTGCTTCCCTCAGCTGAGCTTAAGAGTTTCTTCACTACTTATGGACACTCACACACGACTTGGGATCGAAATACACAAGGACCAACAAGAATTCACCAAAATTTCCTCGTAATATCCATATCATCACCAACACACTTAGTTCAAAATTTCCCCAAAAAATCCTCATAATTTCCATATCATCACCACCACACTTAGTTGAAAATCTCCCAAAAATTTCCTCATAGTTTCCATATCGTCACCACCACAGTTGAAAATTCCCCAAAAATTTCCTCATAATTCCCATGTCGTCACCAACCATATGCATACCTTAATCCCACACAGCTCGGCCCGCTTGTACGGTGGTAGCTTATGGAACACATGATAGATTTCCCGCATAACCTCCAGTCGGCCCTCGAGCTGTGAGTAGGTCAATGTACCTTCATCATCACCAAGAACTGTCACTCGCTCATCACCACCAACCGTACAAATTGATTTGAAATCTTTACACTCGGGAGACTTCTCGCGGCTGAGTCTAGCAAATACATAGTCCTCCGGATCAAAAGTCTCCCCTTCCGCATGCACCCTTTCCACGAATATCTCAACGTTGATCTCGTACCTAGCAAGCACTCCACGATCCAGCTATTCACCTTCATCCTACCTCCGGCACGGGAACATATCTTTTGAAATCAAATTAGCCTCGTCCACCAAGGGGTACAACTTCATAACAGTAAACTCCTCGATAAGCTTATACTCCTTACTACTCTTCCCCCACCTAATGGACGATTCTGTCGAGCCCAGCAGATCCGCCTACTTATGTCTGGCTTTCTGAAGGTAGTGGGTCAGCTCCGAGGGCAAGTGATTCTCCTGCACAAGTGCCCCAAAGGTCTTCGACAATGCTTCCTCGAAAGTTTGTCGAGACCCTCCCATTTTCGGGTAGTGCATACGTAACATGATCGCCTTACCACATACCAGATTGTCCAAATGTCGTCTGCCAACAACAGAAACACGGATAGTTGGCTGGCTGCTATTCGAGGTTGTCAGATTCACTCGCAGACACGCACGAACAGCGCACTCAATAATCTATCTTATTACTAATAACATATTAACCATATTATCTATATCCTTATATACACTATTATTTATTTATATCGTATAAAAGTATAGTTATTATATTAAATATAAATATAATAATGTTAATAAGGTTATATTACTATTATAAAGGTTACACCCAAGGTCCTATTTATCACATACAGTTCTCCTAACCCCATCACTACAGTTTCGTCGGCTTCTCTCCTCTGTTGACCTTAAGACCGTTTACTGTTACCACCCCTTCATCAGATAGGACCTCCACCGTGGTGTGCTGATCAGCAGCGTTCGACACCACAAATTTACACAGAGGCTCCCCTTCCGGAATGCCCAGACCAACAACAACAATCTGATGATGACGACAACACACACAAGTCCGAACCCCTGCACCAGCACCACCCACCTTATCCCTTTCCTTATCACTACCCAACAATATACCTCCATCACTTCTGTCTAGCTGCCAAGCTAGCGTACCGTTGAGTATAGGATCCGACGAAACGTTCAAAAGGTACGGCTTGTCCTTAGCAATATTCTCCTGAGCTCCCACCGATTCCCAACATTTCCATTCCCATACTTTACCGTCGACACCAGCCCTTGATTTTCCATTTTCTTCATCCTCTCTTCAGCAGCCTGCCTAGCCGCCTTCAGCTGTTCCTCGAAATCAGTAGCCATAGCCTTCATCCTTTGCTCTTTCTCCTCCAACTCGGCCTGCAATAGCAACCCCTCCTCCCTATCTCTACACGACCATGCCCCACCTTGAGCCGCCTAATCTCATCATCTTGCTCGTCCCCATGCCCTTGATCTGCCATACTACCACCCCGAACCGACAATTTCTGTCCGATATCAGCGAGCTCTTTCCGCAACGCTTCAAGCTCTGCATTGGGCTGAAGGATCCACTACCGCGGCCTTCCCACTGTGTCACCAGTCCCCACCTTAATCCTATTCTGCATCGCTTTAGTCCTCACCATCTTGGCCGAATGCGCGAACCGCAACGTCGATACGGTCTCCGACAGCTCCGTCAAGGCTGGCGATATGCAGGCGATCTACCCACAGCAATCTCAACGCACAGTAAAGATTCCACATTTCTACCATAAACGTCTTGCTATTGCCCGACAGCGAATCCTTCAACAGGAAAGTAAGTTTGGAGTTCCGGAAAGGAATATGAGCCGACTTGTTCTCCGCCAACCCAGAGATGACCTGTCCTCTCCTCACCAATGACACGCCTCTGCGATACTACCATAGCCAGCGTTGAGAGGCTTTGGTTGATCGCGATCGCCTCCTTCAATCGGCCCCCACTAGCTCCACTTTTCTCCTGCCGTTCACTTCCGGCCAAGTCCACCAAGTTGATCCTGATATGGTCAGAGCCATCACGATGAATTTTGTGGGGATTCCCTACCTCGCGTCCAAGTCTGGCTTAGCAGTAGGATCAGCAGACACTCTCTGTAGCCTCAGTATAAACACAGCATGTGAGCGGGACGACTGTGCGTTCATATTGGTAGCTCCAACGGCTCTGATAACAATGGAGTTTCACCCTAGTGATATGAAAAACACCAGTGAAAAATATATTCCACGACTACTGCATATCACCGCGAATATCGAGTTCCTCACAAAGTGTTACGCCACTCCACGTAAAACGGGTGTATGTAATGTAAAATGTAAAAATGGAAAAATTGTAAAATGTAAAAATGTAAAAATTGTAAAATGTAAAAATGTAAAAATGTAAGAATGTAAAAATAAAAAAATGTAAGAATGTAAAAATGTAAAAATGTAAATTTTGTATGTTTTGTATTTTTTCGTATTTTGAAATTTTCCAATGTAAAGATTCTCAACAGTTAGTCTACAACTGCTCCTTACCGTTGCGCAGTACCATAGTCCAATAAGCCTTTGACCTCTCTGATATCCTCCACAGCGGCTTCAACCATACCGGACACCAGGACTCCACTACCCGGCTTGTCGAAAATCGCTACGGTTTCACCTAGTGTTGAGATATGTGTTTACTTTCCTCACTACATCACGGACTAAGAGTAGAAATTGTCAAAGGCCAACATAAATTTTTTCCAAACTTCGTCACCATATCACAAACACACGAAGTTGACCATGTGCGTATTTTCCCACGTTGAATTCAATTTTTTCCTCAGCCGAAAACGATTTCATTCACCACCATCTTTCTCCTCAGTAGAGAGAAGGTCCTTTATCCGTTCATTGTAGATTTCCAGATAGGACACCCAAACCCTTGTCTGAGCATAACCGTCCTTTTGTCCTCTACCAGCTGCATGAAACAGCGCCTTCGTGATACGTGGGATGATGCCTGATTGCCGCACACAGCGTTGGATACCATCCATCGTTCGGAAAGTAGTACCAGGGTCGCCCTTTCCCCCCAACATACAATAGCTTTTCCCCGACCCCGTCTGACCATAGGCGAAAACACATCCATTGTAACCTTGCAGGGCATTATTCAGAACTGCCTCGCCAAGGTCGTTATAAACCTGCGAACACTACTACACGGGTACGGAAAGAAGGCGCTCACCTTGCTCTGATCGGCGTAATTAGCAGAGCTTCTGTCCATGCTATCGTAGCAGTGGTCAAAGGCAAAGGTCCTAGTCTGAGCTTGCTTCCCTTCACGAGCACCAGCCACTGAGGCTACGCCGGCTTCATCACTCACGACCTTACCTGAGGGAAATTTCTCAGAATCGTATTGGAGTGCCTTGAGATTCACATTGGCGACCAGACATGGTGACGGTGCTCTGAGCTCCCAGGTCGATCTCTCTTTCACTGAAGGGGCGAACCCTAACCGCGACTTTGATATTTTCTGCTTCTGCTACCATTGATACTCGAACGTTTACTGCCACTCAGAATGCCTCACTATTGGTTTGCGCAACACTTGTAAGAATGAAAATGTGAAAAAAACTGACATTCATCATGTGGGTTATCTCATACCTTCCGTTGGTCCTCAGCGGAGCCTGTTGGACATAAGACACTACCGCGTTGACCTGGCGTACTGACTTACTTCGCAAACCTAAGTGCCGTACGGACTGCCTTGTCGGGCAAGTTGGAGGCGTACTGAGTTCTCTTGTGGTGAACATAGTCCATCATGATGTCGTACCATTCCTTACGACGCAGAGGAACACAGTAGAAGTACAGCCTATGCAGAGCCAATCAGATCAGAAGTAGTAGCAGTGCACTCACCACGCTCCGCTGATGCCAAGGACGGCAGTGTTGACGACACCACTCGTGTTAACGTACTTAGGGCGAAGAGGATCAGCGACCTGGACTGCCGTTGAAGGGGTTCCAGCAGTCATACGATGCAAAAATGCCTAACTAGAGCCAGGCTGCATTAAATTTCCCCTTCGAATCTCAAGATGTCCAACGAGACGGTACGAGGGTAAAGCGAAGATAAATTCAGGGCGAGCGCTACTTTCATTTGGTCATTTCGTGTCCTCCATATTAGTCTTGAGATGAATACACCTCTAAGACTAGCTCCCTTTGCTTTTCGAGTATCGGATAAGCCTGAGGGTTCCTCACCTGTGACGTTGAAGTCGCTGACCCTATTGGGCCGCTCGCAGGTGTTGACTTCTCCTTCTCCTCCTCGTTATGTCACGGAACCCTCCCCCGCCCCCTATGCATGTTGAAACTACGACATGGACAAGGGACTCTCATGAGCTTTTCGACTACGAGAGCCGTAGCACTGCCAAGTCCAACTTTCAGGTTGTGGGCAATGCACGGTTCATCAGACGAAATGGTAGTAGGCCTTCGAGAAGCAGCATTTTACAAGGCCTATGTTATTGCTGTTTTTTTAAGGGGAAGTCTCTATGGAGCCTGACAGTACCGATGTAGTAGAGCCAGCTGAGCCTACTGACTACCTCTTGAAGTGCGTCAATTTTGATACCAAGTAGTACCCTGGTCATAGCACAATCCACTTGATAACGACCGCACCGTGGTTTATACACAGACTCGTCCGCTTCGGAAGGGCGTTTGTGGTCAGATACCTCATACAACCAGCAGAGAAGCAGCCTGAAGGGTCTCGATGGTCGGCAAAAAAATTGTGGATGGTTATCAGAGATGTAGGCATGCCTCCTCCGAACCTACTTTGAATCTTACTACCTTGGACCTAAGATTCTCGAGCACCGTATTTCTTTCTTCAGCTCGGCCCATACAGCATGAGTGAAGGTGATGTTGTGAAACTCGGCCGTTTCAAACTGCGAGTTCGTCAACTATGCTGTGATGAATCAGAAGAGCCAGTAAGTCCTCGTCGACATTTCTCCGCGTCAATCTCTGCTCAGGTGAGACCCGATCTGATGGGCCCAGAATCTCAATCCTCTATGGGCACATGTGCTCCCCCTGAAGCTGATGGGAAACCATGTCGGATCTGTCTATTAGAGGTATGTCCAAACCGCTAAAGGACCAGGTCAAAGTCTACCACAGGCTAGCGGCTCTGATGATGATCCGTTGGTCGAGGCATGTTCTTGTCGGGGATCGATCCGATACGTTCATCTCGGATGCCTACGACACTGGGTAGAAGGTCGTCTTAGCCTTAACTCTGGTAGGGAATTTTATATCTTTGCTATGTGTGACGTTTCCCATTTCAGGTTCTGATCAGCAAGGACCTGCTCATACGTAGTTCTATTATTAACTCACCCGATTGGAAATTCCTTTCCTATTGTAGTTACCTTTTTCGGCAGCTTGCGTGTGAGCTATGTCGCACTAATTATCCACTTTATGTCAAATTACATGATGGGCACGTGGAGCAGCTAGTAAGCAAGGAAGAGATTCCTGACTGTACATTTTTCTTTTCCCTCTAGGTTCCTATGCCGGAGACTCGAGCACCATACATGGTCTTGGAAAACATGATGAGGGTTGATCCAATTGGTGGTGGCCAGACTGACGGTGATGCCCACTAACTGTGGTGATTGATTATCGCAGCTCTGGTAGGTAACGACAGCCAGTCATCAGTTCATGCCAGAGGCGTTTATGTTATATCACTCGCTGGCAAGAAGATGCTCCGTCTAGGACGGGGTCATGAGAGTGATGTTCGAATTGCCGATGTGAGTTCAGATCGGGACCGACTAGTGAGTTCATGGTGGATATCAGGTATCGATATCCCGCTGGCATGCTACTGTATCATTCACTGAGGACGGTCGGTTTGTATTGGAAGATCACAACTCCAAATTCGGAACCCTCGTTGCTCTGCGAAGGCCGCGAGTTATTGAAGCCGCACCACCACGTGAGCTTCCTTCACCTCCTTGCTATCACAACTTGAGTACTTCGATAGTTGTCTCGTTGCTATTCTCATCAGTTTGTCGGATCATGGGATTGACTAGTCATTGTCTCAGCCGAGCCAGAAGAGGGAGTAGAAGCCCCGAAAGCCCCAGTTCTTACGGTTCAAGCGGGAAGGACTGTCTTCAGGATTAGCCGCGACGTACCACCACCGCTCATGCCTCCTACTAGGTAGTGGGAAATCTGTCGTTTTTGGTACTCATCGTGTCAGCGGCTCGTATGCATTGTTATCGGCAAGAAAGGGTGTACGTATCATTTCGGTGTTCTCAGACCGGATACTATTACAATCCCAGAAGGAACCTCCCTCGCACATAATAACGTAGCCGTAGCGATGATAGCAGCCCAGCTTGGGAGTGACTATCGAGCAGCAGCTTTGGCTTTGCATCGACAGCAACTTCAGCAGCAGCAACAACAACAAGAAGAAGAAATGGAAAACCGAATGGATATTCAGCCTGATGACGAAGACGAGCAAAGGCAGAACGACGAGCAATAGTCATGAGCACATCTATGTTGTTAAGTTCATTTCTCGTGCTGAAGTCCAGTAGTCTGTCATCACTGTTATTGGTGACACCTTTTAACATTAGTAGTTATGATTGGTTATTTGCTGTTGCCGCGACAACTTAGTATTACATACACCGCCAGCTTTGGCGGCTTCGAAAGTAGCCTCCGAATCGGCCTGAGTTTCGGCGCTCATCTGGAGTCAACTTTTGATCATCGTCAGAGTAAGGTGGTAATGGCGTAGTCGACACCACTTAGGTATTGTCGTGTAGCTTTTGACACTTTGTTTGCAAGGGGACAATGTTGATGGTGACTACTAGCTGTAGAGGGCCTCTATGACTTCACTATAAAGTGTCATGATGGTACCTGAGAATGTGCACAAGCTCTTCTGTACCATTGAGAGTTGTTATTTGGCCGCGTCTCAGCGGAGGCATTGCCCCGCCATTGGGGTTGCTCTACTATATCGTATGAGTATGTTGTGTTATACAGTTAAGTGGCGAGTAAATTATACGATCAGCATCACGTTCCGTATTGTTACGCCGAATCTGTCTACACTGGAATTCGATCGGATGTGCCATGGTACACTTTTCACAAGCTCCGTCGCGATCTCATCCTTTGACAAACGGGGGACTAGGTTTCTCCACATCTTCTTGAATATACTGTACACGCAGCGATAGGTATACAACTGTGTCCATCAACACTTCATATTCCTCGGGGGGGATGCGTATCGTGCAACCCCCAGTGTGGCTGCTCCACTTGGTTTTTTGGAGCGCTGTCTTCGTTACGAGCTTCTTTCCCGTCATTCAGTGAGAGAGAGGAATATGTGTGCCGATGTATGCAACTCAATACGGCCCTGTTGGGGATACCAAAACTTGATTATACACCAACAACTTATGAGTAACTAATGGGATGGCATAGCTTAGCTGATACAAATGGGGACAACGGAGATACAGATGTGATGGACTGCATACCGCAACAGTCTCAGCTGACAACAATTAACGTAATATGTTCCCATATTAGCACATATGAAGATACTCACACATCCTGGCGTATATCGGATATGGAAAAGTTCACCGGTCCTTGTGTGGTAAAATGATCCGAGTATGACTTTCGAATGTTATCGATGACCACGGTTCACACACCACTAGTAATGGCGAATTCACGATTGCAGTCTCCATTAAAGACTCCATCGTTCCTGACAGGAACTTCCTGTCTACCTCGCACCGCCGTGTTTGGCCACTATTGAGTTTCTGTCATGACAGGATGTCTCCAATCATCGTCACGACTAAGCTGGCCGCGATGTGGGTTCAGCTGCAACGTTGTTTTCCGAGTACGTAGGCTACGTAACTTAGCCGTCGGCTACAAGCTGATATGGTGGGCTGCGGGACCTCCATCGTGAAGCAATTCCCCATATAGCTAATGTGCTCCGCTCAAAGACCCCTAATGAAACAACCCTGAAACCATTATCTTCATCTATGCAATTTTCGCCGCCCCAAGCTATTCGATTGTTGCAAAACATGGAGTACAACCACGAGAAGGATACTCTCGACGATAAATGCGGATGATGAGGCTTTCTGCGACACCATGCTAGGTTCGAAAGTGGAAGACATACGTATGGCTCGTGAAATAGCTTTCGGTTGGATATTGATTTGTACGTGCTCTCATCAGTCAGTGTCGTGATAAATTCCCGCGGATCCAATGATTCTATTCCTTACCCTGGGATCCATCAATACGAGCCGAATCACTGCTCGTATAGTACTTGAAGTTCTGAATGGTCTGTTGAAGTTCTGATTGTAGTCCTTGTCAGTGTTCGAATCGTTCACGCTCAGGCTTTCGACATTCGGCTCACACCTATGTGCAACCTTCGCGTTCCCATTCTTGCCTTGTGGGTGGTATCCGCTAGTAGCTTGGATGACACTATCGTATCTATCAAACGCATGAGTGACGACGTCGATATTCGTCGTCTTCCTGGAATGCTGAAGGCTGCTGGTTATATGCCGGATCAGAAGATTGCCTCTTTCCTGGCTACGGCTGAGGTCGTCACTCTTGGGTTCATTCACGCCCAAACCGTCAAGACTTCGTCCACCACCGTCGACAGCGATACTCTCTGCGATTTCGTGTCTATGGCTAGCCGCAAGCTGTCATTGAAAACGCACTGCGCCGCGGATGAGTACGGCCAGGTCGAAGAATATGATAACGACTTGCATGTGAACGATACCGATGCTAGCTTTCAGAGGCATCTCAAGTGGATGAACATGGGTGAGGTTTGGCAGCTGGCTCTACCTCATGTCAAGCGGGATGTCAAAGTGGCCGTAATTGACTCTGGCATCAATTGGGATGATGCCGACTTCGCTCCCCTGAAAACAAAACTACCTAAGAAGAGTGGGGGTGAGATTGATGGAGGGTGGAATCTCCTCACGCAGTCGTCCGACTTGACAACTGAAAGCGCGCACGGCACCAAAGTGAGCAAAATCCTGGCCGCTAAGAGTAACAACTCGGCTGGTATAGCGGGGGTCGCCCCCAATGTCATACTGGTGCCATTACAGATAGTAAATTCGGTTACGGCCCCTCTTTCGAGGACTCTCGCTGCTATGGACTTGGCCATTGATCTTGGGGTCGATATCGTATCAATGTCCTTCACATTCAACTTTACAACGGATTATAGAGGAAAGTTTGTGATGTTTGAAGCTCTCCGCTCTTTACATAACAATGGCATTATCTACGTCTCCTCATCTGGAAACGACGGTGTAATTGCTGAAAACCATTTCCCTTGTTGGTATGGTGGCCCACTTGGTATCTGTGTAGCCAGTATAGAGAACGACAGAACTCATAATGTGCTCACTGGCTACTCGAACTGGGGTCAGAGAGTCGATGTCGCAGCTTACGGTAACAGAATTCTCACCGGTCGTGATAATGATGGCAATCTGACCTACTTCAGCGGCACTTCAGCCGCTGCTCCGATTGTCTCTGGCGTCGCCGCCATTCTTCTATCAATCGGTGTAGCCCCCCTTGACGTCAAGCCTTTGATAATAGGTTACGGCGATCCTGTCGTGAGCGACGCAGGCCATACTTTAAGACATCGCAATGCTGCTCTCAACGTTCTCAGAACTGTGAGGACCGCCTTACGGCATATTCAAACTCACTAGAATGTGTATTGGTGCTATAATTCCAGGGGCTTTATTTCACGCCTTGCTCTATGCTCTAGTTTTCCCTTGATCCCTCGTCCACTGATCCCGTCGAAGGGATACAACGGTTTACAAGAGGAGATGAGGTTTTCTAAATACCTCACGGAGACGGGCTCTTTTTTCTACCTTCGTATCTGAGAATGATTATTTCCTGGTCACGTTGCATACGATCATTCTCTGTCCATGGTCTCGTCAACGTTCTTTTGCTCGCACAGAACATCATCTGGGGGTGTCAGCGGGGTAGTCGATCACAGTGGCAGTGAGAAAGCGGAGTATCAGAACATCGAACTTTGCTTGGGTATTCCCCGCTTCATTGTTCGTGTTCAATCTGCCAATCTGTGTATTAGTCGGCGATGAGAGCGAAACTCTCTGCGCTTCGCTTTGGTAGATTTTTGCTCATTATTCGTCCTTATTTCAGTCGCTACGTGATTTTTCTTATTCATTTGCCGTGGGAACTATCCTCGCAATAAATGGTCTCGTCTTGGATCCGTTGTGTTGAGTATGGAATGGAGTGTCATGATATGGTATTTGGTGCATGGAATGAAGGGGTGGTCCACGACTGTGGTAGCATGAGATATATGCCGACAGAGAGCATGATCATTGAGTACAGCTAAGTCACGAATAGCACTGGGATTTCCACTTAATTTGCGTTCTGCATGAAACGGCGTTACAGGAAAGCAAGTGTCAGAACAAGACACGCTTGTCAGCAAATGCGAACTCCAATCCTTAATATGCTAGAGCATTAGCCGACGCACCAATTATCCACGAGAGCTGGAGGTAAGTACTATGGACTCAGAAGCAAGACCATCCTACTTCCAACTTCTCGAAACAGTTTCGACAAAATTCTCCAGGTATAGCCGCTGAGGCAGCCGTGACCCTGTGATGATTCCTGACTTGTAGTGCTGGGATGCCAGATAAGAATGTATGTTAACGGCAACTGGGTCTTGAGCTACTTCCCCATCATACTTCTTCCATTTTCAGCCGGTATGACTTTAATATGAATCATTTGATTAGGCTGGCAGGTTCGGAGTCTTTCAGACGCCAAATCCCAGAAAGGAATTCAATCGTATAACACAAGGAAACTGACCTTGATATATTGATCCTTCGGATTTGTGGTGACTGGTGTTCTACATGTTCCGTCTATGACCTTGTAGGGGTAGCTAGACTCCTTCACTATGCCTTTATTCGCCGCATAAGAATATGCCCCTCAGATTGAACCCCCGCTGCATCCTCTGATGGAAGGTGAGTCTCAATGGGGATAATATCACGCACGAAACAAGGTAACAATCGAGTGTCATCAAGTTAGCACACGGAATATATATCATCTCACTTGTTATTGTACGGTTGACTGCAGTCAACTATCTGCTGGACGGAGAACGGGACAACTTCACGAATGGCAGACTTTATCTTGAAACGGTCCACTGAAGACCTACCAGTGACTGCTGTAGCCAGGGTGCAATCGCGTAGCAGCTGCTACAATGATGCGAAGCAAAATACTTATCTCGTACTGGCGCCAGAGCTCCAGCAGCTTCCCAGTCCACTGCCGGGGGGAGAGCCGGCATCGGAAGGTGAGCTGACAGCTCACCATTGGCTCTCAGGGCAGTAATCTCTCTCATACTCTCCGTGAAGGCTGCCTTAGCGATTTCATACTGCTACTCCGAGTCGTACTCCTTTTTGTACCTCCAATGGGATCGGGAAATATAGGAGTGAATCAGGCTGGATGCAGATCAGCAAACCATCTTACTCTGTCATAAACTCCTGAAAGGTTCGCTCTATCTCCTGAGGTTGATGGGGCCGACCCGACTCTCTGACCATGCCAGAGGCCATCGTAACCAGACACAGTATACCGGTGATGTACCACATAGTAGCTTGATTGGGAAAATCAAATACCTATGCTTGTCTAAAAAGACAGATATCACTTCGCGAGCGAATATATATACCATACAGTGGATGAAATTCACTATCGGTGAGATAGACTTGCGGTGTTTCCTCGGCTCAACGTCGAGTCTCCTCAGTCCTAATATCAAGACGATACTTGGGCAAAGAACTCCCTTGCGCTTTATACACAGTCATCGAGAACGCTAAGGTTGGAGAGATCTGAGTGCGAGCCAAAGTGCGAGTTCCAGATACCCAAGTCCTTGTGATGGTAGTGATAGGAACAACTGTGGGCCGGCCACCTTGCGCTGAAGAGCCTGCCCACGTACATAGGGAAGTCGAGGAGAACAATCGACAGAGGCTCATCCGTATCATCTCCTTGTGGTGTCATGAATCCGAGGAACTGTCCTTTCAATGAATGGTCTCGTCTTGGATCGTATAGTTGAGTATGAAACCGAATGTCAACGTTATGGTAACTGATCCATGGGGTTAAGTGGTGGTCTAGTAGCAGCAGATAGATGCTGACAGAGACTCTCTGTCACTAACAAACTGCCAGAGAGCATCATAATTGACTACGGCGAAACCACATCCCTGCACGAAAGCTTTATCATGAATAGCACTGAGAAGTCGACTCCATTTCTATACTGCATGAAACGCAGCAGGATCAAGACCCAGAGCCCTGTCAGCACATTGGGGGGCTGGCAGTTCGGATCTGCCACGTGCCAATTCTGATCATGAAAGGGCGTCAGCCGGAACACTAATTACGGCCAAGAGGTGGTGGTAGCCTACCTACTGTAGGCACTTTCGGTTCACGAGGAAGACCATTCCAGTAACTCGAAAGTTTCGGGTCGTCATTTACTCTGTTTATCCCAACAAAATACACTGCGATGCCCTCGATCACCAAACTGGACACTAGATTCTACTGTCTAGTTTGGTCTGCTGAACTGACAGTTGCCATTGACGTCAAATTGACGGCCACAGATGCAAAATGGCATTCCATTTTAATCAAGCTGGCCGGAATCCCCTTGATATCCCACTTCCGAGGAAGATTTAAAAAACTCAGTTGCCAAGGACATCGACGCGCGGCACTTGACCGCCGATATTCTCTTGTGTGAGGTCGATCCTGTAGGTGCTCATTCTTGATAATGTATTTCGTCCATCTACAGAGTTTCGCAGTACGAAGATTCTTCGTTGAATCGGCGGGTCATTTGACATCACCATCAGACTAACGCAAGCCTGGAGGAGGTCGCCGAGACACTTCAACGTAAAGAACACTGACGGCTCGGGTATTGGAAGCAGCAACAGCGAGTGCCGCGTGGACATAATAGGACTAACATAGCGGAGGATCGTACAGAAGTTATAGGAAACGACGGTGAGAGCGATATGAGCATGGTACGTCCGAGAATAAAAATTAGAGATCCACTATCTTCACTGAAATCCCCACGACACTGTCAATGAACAATGCCAGAGCGAGAGAGGGATATGATAGCAAAATGTGACCGTAGTAGTGGGGAACAAAACAGAACTCTCACAAGTTGTAGACTAGTGACCGTGCTCGAGTTTACTCGAGGCATAGGAGGCTATTCCTGGAGCCGTTGAGGTTTGCTTATTCTCAACACTCGTGAAATGAATGCTGCTTATGGTTATCGGATGCAAGTCCAAGAACAGCAGGGCAGCCAGATGTGTCTCGCACTACGAAATCGTACGATCCTCCAGCACACGAACAAGCACGGGATGGTGGTCCTCCGAAAGAGTTGACCGAAGAATGGTACCGATTGCCTTTTGGTACTATCTCCTTATAAAAATACACGGGCATGGAAACAAACACGATGACTTTGTGGTAGTAGTCTAGCGGCCTTTAGAGCTAACGATTAATGATGATAATAGCAATGATAGTGATTACTACTACTACCAACAGTGTCGAAATACGTCAACCGAGATAGGTTAGTATTGGACAGAAGTTATGACAAGGGACCAGATATATTGCTTAGTTACATAGTGTTACGGCGATAGAAGCCCCGCTCGAATTCTTCCAGGGTCATTTCGCCGACCTGATCAGCAATATATGTACTTCTTATCGTACCGTCATGGCCACCTACCCCGATGACATCACCACTGAGTTTGGGGTAGTCGTAGGTCTTCTTCTCTATACCACCGACCATCACGCCCCTCCTCTGGGTAGGTGTCGCACGAGTTGTGATAAAGGGGCTAGCGTAACTAATGTGATGAACACGTTGAGAAAATGGCATGAGCAGCGTATGTAATCTTGCAAACGAGTACATACCACACTTAGCCGAAATTCAGACGACGAAGCCAAGTATGTTGATTAGTGTTGTTACTCAAGAAAGCTTCCCCCTGGTGTAGTGGTGGTGGCTGTTCGACTAGAACTACCCGTAATGCTGCCTGTACAATTAGTAGCCAACCAAGGGTAGCTCCTACCTAGAGGTACTCTTATCTGAACGACAATACATGACAGTCACGACACACTGGACCCGCTAGTCTCGAGAGTGCAGCAGAAGAAGGAACACTAACTTATGATTCACAACGGAGCAAAGTCCCAAGGCCTGAGTTCGCCCTCTCAGAATTTTCATGTTCAGTTTTCATGATGTGAACTACCACCTCAAAAGAAGACCTTCAGTGTTTTATGATAACACTAATAAGGTATTCGACGGCACAGAATTTTTTAAATCTTTCTCAAGCAGTGAGATCTTCGTTCGCATTGATGGGCATCACAGATCTATCGGCAGTGTTGAGAGCTGCCACGACGAGCTCATGATGGGACGAACGGTCGTTGATAACATTTCCAATACCTCAATTGAGATTCGATCGTATTTTATTGTTGATGAGTTATGACTATAATACCTTAGCACGATCGAGATCCTTCTTGCTAAGGCCAGTACATACCAAACGCCCATGCCTATATACATGCTGCCCTGCAAGGCGTCGCTTATCCGCCAATTTAGCCATCGACCGGAGAATATCTCTCGTCTCCAACCGTCCCTGCGACCTCCCCTAAGACAACACAGATGCCACCAAGCCCTGAATTCTGACTTCTTCTTGATTCAGCTGAAACCAGAAACTTCATCGAGATTGGGAAATGACTTTCACACCATCATGGAGATCTTCTCGAAGTGTACGTCCCAGAATTTCATCGCTGCAAATTTTTTTCCGAAAAAAAATTTTGGAACATCCAGTCGGCAATTATTACCTCCTTATTGCAGTGCCGGGGCGCTCGGTCCTGTGAACGACTGGAAGTGTTTCGTTCGGAGTTCATGATGGACGCCGAACGTGCCGACTGCAAGACATTCGAGCTCCTTAGACCACCCGTGACTGGACCGCACTCACCTTGAAAAAAGAATGCTCAGTATGTCTCTGTACAGTGGTATTAGATCGTCTAGGAAAATTGGAAATTGGTGGTACGTGAACACTCGTATGGGCAGAAGTCTTAGGGCCGTCAAACGTCACCTGAATAGCTACGACTGCCTATGTATTCCTCTACTGCCTTATTACACTCCTAAGCACTTGAGGGCCCTTCACAGGAGCTACCGCTTGCAAGCTTTGTCGATGTCGAACGCGGCTCGACAAGGGAGCTCGTGAAGTGTTGACAGGATGGTAGGCGCTAGGAGATCCGTATAGAGCCGATCGACTGCTACCACCGCAGATAAATCTCGAAAACCATCGGCCAAAACGAGACCGAGTGTCACTAGTTTGGTGGTGGGTTGGTCCTGTCGCGTTGTCGCTAACAGTGATCATGTTACAGTGCTCATTGAGATAGTTCGAGGGCACTGTTGAAGACATCATTTGAAGCGAACAGGGAGGGAGAGCGCTGGACCTACGTAGAGACGTTTGCTGATCCAATTATGTTCTTGTAATACACAATGAACGTATTAAGTTCAGTGGTTTTGCCTACTACGGCGTTTTCTGCTACTATCGGACGATTAGAAACTCGCCAGTCCAACGACCATTTTGTTGAGCCCGTTATGATAGCGATTCGGCGACTTACCTGTGCGATCCCCTCCGGGAGTATGATGGTCTCTCAATCATCTTGGATGCCAAGGAGCAAGAGAGAGTCAACTTACGCAGAAGGGGAAAACAATCTTGCACATCTTGCGTTTCCTCAACGCACTTAGTCATGACGCGACAACTACGACCAACGCACGATCAATGATTTCCGCGGTCGACGATTGGTTATGAACTCACCCCAGTTAGAATTCCGCACTTTTTTGACTGTCTTTGTAACATTTCTCTGAGACGGCCACATTCCTACCTGTCCAGGTTATTAGTGGTACCCTGGATGCTGGGGATTCCCCATCGATCGGACCGCACAAGTTAGGCCTGTGCTTATGCTGTTAAATCCATTCCAATATACCCCGTAGTATCTTCTTACCTACCCTATGTCCAACGGAGAGACCAAGCCCCTCAACCCCCAGGCAGACCTTGCCCCTCCCGCCCCTATGGCTGGAGTGTACTTCGAGCACGACCCTGCAACGGTGAAATGCCCTTTCTGCCAGTACACTGGTCCGACCAAGGTTGACCATAAGATCAGCGCTGGTGAGTCTACGCCTGCTGTTATCATGACTCCGTTCATCCCCCTACAGGTTCGTGGATATGCGTTGCCATACTGGCCATCATCTTCTTCCCTCTGGCCTGGTTACCCTGTTGCTGCAAAGACTGCCAACAGGCTGACCATAAGTGCACCCATTGCAACGCCAAGGTCGGCGAGAAAGTATTCATCACGAGTTGATAAAACAACATGTGCCCACGATTGTGTGATTCCCATGCCTCTTCTGTGCTGATGATGGTACTCAGTCTCGCTCTTTGTTCAACATGGGGTGGTAACCACCGCTCCTTGGTCGGTTTTAGACGTATTTTCCCAAGCCTCCAATGTCTGCTGAAGAAGGCAAGCCTTTCATCCAGTCCCAGACGTACAACGCTACTGCCCCCCAGCCCGCGGTGGCCCCGACCGCCCCAGTGCCTATGGCCAACATGTTCTTCTCCGACGATCCAACGACTATCACTTGTCCTTATTGCAAGGCTACTACTACCACTAACGTCGAGCATAAGGTCAGCGCTGGTAGGCCAAGATCTGTGTGACTGCGGCTAGCTTAGCTAAAGTGGCTTCGATCAGGTTCATGGATCTGCGTCGCTATTCTCGCCCTAGTGTGCTTCCCTCTGGCCTGGTTGCCTTGCTGCTGTGATTCATGTCAGCAGGCGGACCATTCATGCGCCAATTGCAATCGCAAGGTCGGTGAGAAAGTGTTCATCACTTCTTAGATCGCTCCGCTCGTTGTGCCCGAGGCCGTATCAGATCACTTGTGAGTCACCGGCATGATAGTTGTTGTCCACTCCTTGCGTATTGAGTTCGAGGGAAGCCTTGGTGTATTTATCGATCACGCAAGACGGTCCATTATTCTCTGGTCCATGACAACCTCAGGCTGGTATGGTACCGTACCCTCCTAATTTCGGTTATTCACACGCTCATGCAATGCTGAGCATCGCTACCTTTGTGGAGAGTCGTCCCTAAGTCGACCGTGGCAATTTTCTATAGTCGATTGGTCAGGTTCGTGTATATGTTCTCTTCGATTCTACTTCTCGCTATGTTCTCGGTATTTCGAACTCCCCTTTTTCTGTTACAGGTTTCGAGAAGCTGACCATGTTAACACAGCCTTAGTTGACCAGACAGTCTACATCACATGTTAGTCATGTGTCTATAAACAATGTCATTCTTGCATAGGCTTGCGAGCTTCGCTGTGTTGTCACTTTTGGGCGGTATAGTTGATGGGGAAAGCCTCCTCTGAACTGGTCTCTTTAGTCCGCTGAAATCGGTTGCCATAATGGAACCTACAGAATCACAACCAGCGCCCACCAACACGTCCAAAGGACGGTATAGAAGGAGATCAAAAAAACGACAACAGAGTCAACAATTGTCAGCTAACGCACAGGGGGACTTACCGCACGAGGAGGAGGGAGGCGACGACGACGAAGGTTCAGCCGTGGATCCCCTCACACCTAATCCTTGGCAGGAAATAGTCGACGAACCTGAAGCCGCTTTGCCAGGGCGAGAGAAACAAAACGAAGCAAGCGCGACCGCTGAGGTTGAGGATCCCATTAGTGTTGAGGCGACCGGTGACGATCAGTCTAGTGCAGTTGAGCCAAAGGGCCTACGGGTCCAAATCGAGGGCTTGGTACCGCAAGATTTCAATCCGAATAGCGATGATGAAGTGATCGAGATTGCGGATGATGCTCGAGATCGAGCTGTGACTGGCTCGGATACGGAGGAGACCAGGCTCTTGGTCGGCACTGACGACAGTTATGGGGCGACCAAAGAGGATGTCTTCCCAAGAACGGACCCGGGGCATGAACCTTTCGACCTTCATTGCCCGGTGTGTGGACATTCGGGACCGACAGTTGTCACGCACGAACGTTCATGCGGTAAGTTGACGCCGTTTTCTTTACCATGCAAGAGCTTGTGTAGGTACATATATTTGCATGGCGATTCTGTTGGTGCTGTTCTTTCCAGTATCTCTGCTGCCTCTATGTTGTGATAGCTGCCAAGAGGCGACTCATCGGTGTGAGAATTGCGAGGCTTTTGTTGGTGAACAAGTGTTCATCACGAAATAGTCGACGCTTTGTCGTATCACGACATGCATGCAATCCACCACATTTGTTGTTATCAACAACAGCTTTGGGAGCTCTTGCGTTAACTCCAACTATTTATCAGTTTTTAAAGTCGACTCCGACTCCTCTACTATCACCCTATGGCCTCTAAGGTTGAGCTCCCCAATCTGCCTGGCTATCAGCCTAAGGTAGGCTCTGCTGATCGCCAGCTTGAGTTTTCATGGTCGGGGTCTTCTTGTTACTAATGTAGCCGATTCCTGGGGAAATGTGTCGCTCTTGTGAGCTGTATCGTCATGGTTGAACCTCCCTGTAATCTGGGTTCAGGTGGACCGAGTGAATCATCACGTCCACCAGTCATGGGGATTCGATAACGGTCAGCGTATCGAGAAGAGCATCTTCAATAGAGAGAGGCCGAAGCTGGTCGAAGTGAGCCCCTCAGCCTTATGAACGTCAGGCATCCCGACCGATCAGGTCCCGAGGGCCCCCGAGGGCTGGCGGGATGGCGAGGCATTGCCCAAGTCTACCACACATGACGTTTATATCGCTCCCAATGGGGTACCGGACACTGAGCAGCTCCCGGCTTGGGACGCTCTGGATCGACATGTCCTGAGGTGGGTCTTGTGAAGTGAGCCGAAATAGAATGTGTTGTGATGCAGGTTCTTCGGTTACTATAAGGAAGCCGTTGTGGAGTCCAACTTGGAAAACTATCGCATCAGGCCCTGTATCCTCTACTACTACCTCGGTACGTTCACTGGTCGGTGCATGAATCGGGTATGTCGAGGTGTTCTCAGAGGATGACACTATGCACGCGAGTGAGCCTCGACAAGATAACAGTGGTCTCAGCCAAGGCATGCTCCTCAAACGCCACAGGTGACATCCAACTGGTCTATGTAGCTACGACTTGAACGATTTTCTTGTAGGATCCCGACGAGTAACGGCAACGGCTTCATCGTAGCTCAAGACCTGGTAAGGATAGAATCTCGTTGTCGCTTCGGACGCTCTATTCAGTGCGAGAAAATGTGCATTTCATATGTTGGTGACAACATGAAAAATTCTGCGGAAATTTTGGGAGATTATTTCTCTTCTATAGTTAGTGAAGAACCTCTTGAGCTCAGTTGAGGGAAGCGAATATTTGTTCCTCTAGCATTGGTTGTTGTTTCTCCTCAGAAAGTCGGTGAAACCATCAACATCTACGGTAAGGTCATACAAATCACAGCAGTAGATGCGTTCACTAGGAGTTACTATGAAAATGTAACTCATGCAGCTGAGCTACGCATTTGAGATAGCACCATATCAGGTCTTGAAGACTGAGCAGGCTCCCAATACGGAAATACCGGACGACTACTTCGCGCTCGTCAAGAAGGAGGCGATGGTCACCGAGACGGCCATGCCCCGTAGGATCTCTAATGATGCTGCTCATAGGCATTCATCTTGTGTAGGCACTTATGAGAAGATCTATAGGGAGGCTATGCTGGGCGGGGTCCTGCCCAATGATCGATTGCAGCAGTTCTTAGAGAACGACCGCAAGGTACGTTCAGTCAGTCGTAGTTGATGTAGCTGTTGGTCTGTGGAAGGTGTGCCGCTTCTATGCTGTTATGGATGACCTCAAGACTGAACAGTACGAGAGGAGACCGTTCACCATCTTCTACTTCCTCAGTGATGATACCATTGAAATTAGAGAACAGTACCACTCCGATCCGAACCTATTCGAAACACTATCCCGTGCCGATCTGTAGATATCCTCTTAATTGTGGCCGAGACAGTTTCCCCGTATTCTTCAAGCGCGGCCGTGTTGCCAAAGGTAGCCTCTGTCCTCAACAGACCCATACGGCAATTCTTCGCTCAGGTGGCGTGCCGGTTCATGGTCCTTGTGACCCTGTCCCCCCCTCGGGCTGCTTCTATAAGGTTCAGGACCTCTATGTTGGACAGACCATACGCCTGGTATCCTTGGGGTGACCGATTCACCAAGTCGATGAAACTGTTTTAGGTCAATAACGATCTGTTCATATACGACGCGGATGCTTTCACGCGGGAGTACTTCAAAAGCATTGGAAGTACTGCCAGGAAGTCTCGTCATCGGTTCCAGGAGTTTCCTCATTAGTTGAGCTCGCTCCAAAGCGAGACGTCCGACTGCCAGAAAAGACCGTCCCTCGTCCACCGACTCCGCCATACACTGGATACGGATCATGGGACGACTCCATGGGATCGGTCTTCAGCCTTGTGCCCAAGGTCCCTAGGAAGGACATGCATAAGCTCCTCATCAACGACGGTTCGATCCCTGGCGATGACATTTTTACTGTTCATGTTTGTCTTACAGGTAAAGTGCTGCGGTTCTCGGCGAAGTTCTCCAACCCCGAGCCTGAAGACGTGAGTCGGAGGTAAGCCTCAGCCACAGCTCGGTCGTGATCCCACTGATTAGGTTCGTATTCAATTATCAACTATGTGACGACACTCTGTCCATTCACGAGCCCCCGCAGAGAAATCTCGGTATCGTTACAGGGAAATTCTTGGAGAATGGAACTTACCTCAACGAGACGACGGGTAGGGACTGAGCTCGCACGGTCGGGATCCTTTCGCACATGGTCAGGTCGCTTGATGAGCCCCCTTGACCTGATACCAGGGAAGACTGTGATAGTGTTCAATCACAGCTTCATCATCACCGGTTGTGATGAGTGAGGCTGATCTCCCACACTGGTTGGATGATAGTTGTCTCGGCAGTTACACCCGCAAGTACTTCGCCAAGGCTCACCCCGATGTCCAGCTCGTCGTCGAGGACGAGGATCGCGCGGTGGTCCCTGATCAGGAGTAACGTCACGATCTTTGAGTGACCATCATGGATTTGGCCTCAGGTCTGATCTCAGCACTATCATTCCCAAGTTGCGTGAGAATCTGCTGCAACAATTCCCACGCGTACGGGATATATTCCGGCGCATCGACAAGGACCACAACGGCGTCATCACATGTGAGGCGCCGAGAGTTGACAAAGCGCGAGGCTTGTGATTGTTATTTCAGTGGACGAAGTTAGAGAGGTGCTCGCGAATCATGGCTTCCAACTCAATCAGACTGACGCGACCGCCATTTTGAGGGCCTTTGATACCAACAAGGATGGCCACATCTCGTAGGCTGCTGGTGCTACTTGTCTCCCCGAAGTCACCGATCGAATCTTAGCTACAACGAGTTCTGTGATGCTGTACTAGAGCCTGACTATAAGGGCTATGCAGGGGAGCCTCAACCGAGAAAACCATCTTTGTTCAAAGGAGATAAGGACTATGCCGCAGCAGCTGCCTGCAGGGTAGGTCGAACGTACGCTGTACATCTTGTGACTTCCATTGTCGTCAGTCGGTTGAGGCCGCCGAGACCGCCAAGATCCGTCGTGCCGTCCGAGAGGTCGGGGATGTCTTCTACAAGCATCCAACGATGTCCCACCGACTTATCAAAGAACTTTGCAGTAGATCTATAACGCGCACGTTTCGAAGCAGCGGATGTATGTCAGGAGTGTCGGACAACCAGAAGACTGATACCAGTCAAATTCGACTCGCCTTACTCCGCTTCGGTTTTCCCTTCGATCAAGAAGAGATTGATCGCTGTGTGTGGTGAGTTCGCTTGTGTGATCCCTCGGTTGGCTGAAAATTCTCCTCAGCTTCGTGATGACTCCCGAGAGCGATGAACCCGTTGATCTCACGCAAGTGCCGTTCGTTGAGTTCACCAAGGCCATCGTCGCTACCTATCATGACCACATTACTACCCGATAGGTGAGATTGATCTAGCTTCATCAGTCCCCACTATCTCAGCAGCCTTTCAGGTGCGTTCGCGGTGGCAACATCAACGGGCGCGGCCGTTCAAGGTGTAACCCGCGTCGATCTGCTGTCACACTGCATCGACATTGTTCGAATCATGTTCGTTGTCACGACTATGTCGGTTGCGTTGTTGAGTAGCGCCGAACCTACCCTTGACAAGACTCTCAGGTTGGCATTCCTGACTTACATGAGGCACACATCCTATCCTATAAATACTTAAAAAATGGCAGCACTCAAGAAGATGTAACACACTGTGGTTCATTTTTCGAGTGTGGTTCCTATACAATACATCTCTACAACTGCTTCGTATTGGCATGTGCCCTCCCGTCTTCATGAAAAGGCGGGAGCCGTTAGGATTGTCCACTACTTATGGTGTTACACAGTCGACCTGCGAATAAACGAGTTTGAGACTTCGGCACTGATTGTAGCTGGGCTGGTTGAAGAAATACAGGAATTACCTCTACCGTCTAGGCTTATGCAGACGACTCTGCCCTGTGCGATTCTCGATTCGGGACGAATTCACGATTTTCACTCGTGAACTCGGTCAGCTGATGTCGTAGGTTAGTAGACAACACTGATGAGGATTAATGGAAGCATGCCGGTGGTCGACTTCGGGTTTCGTGACGTCATTATTTATCAAGCTCCCTATGCGACACTCGTCGCTTTATCAGCAACTCAACCCACTCAATTCGAAAACAACACTCATGAGATGTCCTCAACGTGGCTGCATTCATGTATGAGTCTGTCAACTGCACACCATCACTCTCGACGACGAACCCGTGGAGGCACCTATTGAATATCCGGTCATCGAAATATCATTCTGCGGCACCCACTGAGGTAGCGCGATATCTCTTGAGTTGTCGCAACTGACGAGCCGAAACTGTATCGGGCGACATGTCGTTATCAGAATCCAACACTCGTGAGACTTCCCCAAGCAGTTGATCAGCGCGGCTCTTCAGTTTCCTCCCAAACTGGGAGACGCTACTCCAGACCCAACCTGTTGACAAAAAATCATGATGCTCTCCCACGATGGACGACCCACCAGCATTCTCCTTCGCTTCGTCTAGCCACCCCTGCCACAGTACTGCATGTCCCTCCTGAGACGCCAGCGTCACTGCTCACCGGGAGCTTTCTACGGCTTAGTACAGATCGTCGCCGTTGGCGTTTCACATTATCCACCTCAAACCCACCCATAGACATGCTGCGTTGCAAAGACCTCTTCTCACCAACTGTGTTATGTAGCCTTCAGGAAGAAGGAGACTATTCATTCGGAGGAGCTGAATACTCACATGCCACTATGAGCTGTCCGTCGCCGTCGTCTGTGCACCATGTCGACTTCCATTCTAGGAGGATCCACTTCACCGAAATCCTCCGCTTGCCGACCCGCAGCCTCCTCCGTTCGTGGTAAACTGCAATGACCAGTGTTGGAGGATATGCACAGAGTCAACTTCATAGATTGGTGACAGTACGAAAATTTAGAGAAATCGTACCTACACACTTCTATCCGATTTTATATCAAAACTTTATAATCAGTGAGGAAACTCCTGAACTCAGCCGAGGAAAACGACCATATATTTTAACACTAGCAATAACTAACCGACTCTGGGAATGATGGAGTGTTGCTCCGGTTCTCTCTTTTCCTCCTTGGTGTACTCTGCCTCGATCGATGGAGGGCGGCCTCATACGCCCGAGCTTCAAAGTCTGTGGGTGATTGCATCACAGGACTCCTCCTAGAACTTTCTAACCTCTTATCGTCTCACGAGGAGCCTTCAGGCCTCCTCTCCCTGACGCTGTTACTTCATAGGGGAAGTCCTTCATAGAGGAATTCACGACTAACCATAGCGTTCCCCTCACATTGCTGTCCAGAGAGGCTCGAGCATCGACTGTAGACCGTTTCGGACGGCTCTCATAGAACGCATGCTAATGACAATCACGAATGTGGCCTTTCTATAAGAAGTTCCCTACTGGGCACTCCGATTCAAGTCGATGTCGATATCGCCGGAGTTTCTCTTGGAGCTCCGACGGGGGCATTCGTAGTATAAATGTTCCTACAGCGACTTCATTGCGGGAGCTCCTATCTGCCAGTTCGTGATGTCAACAGGATCTGTCTCAGCTACCCTCACCCCTAGTTAGCAATTCGAGGGGTAGTGGACTCAGCGGCATCACCCAGCAGTCAGCAAAAAGATGCATTCACCTCAGAACTAACACTACATCAATGCTTTAGAAATATCTAGAAGGAATGTGGTTTACATAGGGCTCTGTAGCATAGCATCGATGAGCTGTTGACCGCGGCACTGCAGTGGGACGGCCTGGGAATGACGACGCTCCTCGACTGAGTTCAGAGACCCCCGTCACGTTCACCGTTCGCAGCATACTGGGAACGTCTTCTATCCCGAAGAAGAAAACCCACATTGTGACTGAAACTGTCGGCAGTCCGAGGGCAGACCAGTGTGCAGAATGGTGGCCTGGATAAGCAACCTTGGACGGCTGAGACCGGTTACCTCAGAAGTGGCACTTGAGCCCGATATCTCCCATTGAGCTGAGTTGTGTCAAAGTACCACTCATCATCCGGGTCCACTTATCATGCATACCGACGACATGCTCTATGCTTTCACGTTGTCTCCAGTGACCAGTCGTCTGCCCCTGAGCACCACAGTACTACTGTTGTGTTCAGTACGATAGTAGTACTGTTCAACCGACAGTGCTGTACTACTGTGACAGTAGTATCACTAGCAATCTATTCATTCCGGGATAATAAGCGCCTGCTGAAGCAACATACCCCTCCCCCTTTCCTCATCAACAGTCGATGATGATGATGAACAACCGTTGCCACAGGTTCACTCGACATTGGGTATAACATGCTGTAGCGAGAAGAGAGCTGATGCCCTGCATTGACGGACACAGTGCTTTAAAGGGAGTGAGAAGAAACTGGACAGTAGGAGGTAGTATCACTCTGCTATGGATATCTTGGGGTCAACCCGTCTAAGCTCGCCTTGGTTCACATTATCTACAGCGGTCCTGTATTGATAGGGCTTGAACCCTAGCAGTGTAGTTTGGAGGATCTGCATCACATCACCGTGTGTGACCAATACAAGTGCCTTACTGCCAGTCTGAGGAGCAAAGGGAACAAACTGGATACGGTACTACCAACAACAGCCCCACAAAGTTTACGACTATCTGGTCTTGGAACACGACTGATTATGCCGTGCTCCTGAGTCATCATCACTAGCCTGGACAGCTCTCACCACTACCCTCACCCGTGGTACGTTTACTACTATAATTACATTTCCCATTTTTCCAGTACTCTTACTACCACGATTGATCTCTTTGCTACTACTAATGCTACCACTACTCTCACTATTACTATCGATACTAATTCAACCCTAAATCCATGTATCACCTTTATGTGTTCCTTCAAGACAGCCAGACCCCTAGCAGCGACACTATCAGGTTCCTCTGCATTGAAGTCCTCGAGGCTCTCATGATGGGCATCCCTCTCCCACACCTTCGCATAGGATCCATCCGAGGTCATGTCTATACTTCCAAAGTATCTCTCTCGCAATCTAGTATCGAACTGTATCTTGTCTATAGGGAACCCCACAACACTGGCAAAGACCTCAGCCGTTTCCCTGGTACGCAGGAAATCTGATGACACTATTTCCATCTGATAAACAACAGATCAAAAATGACGCTAAGTTGGTGCCCTCCTCCCTACCTCCATCGAGGCACCCTTGTATTGACTGAGGAAAGCCCTAGCAGAAGACTTGACCTGTTCCCGCCCAGCGCCCGTCAGGCCATAGGCCTTACAACCGACCTCGGGATTGCTGACAATCAAGTTAGCCACATTAGCTTCTGACTGGCCGTGGCGAATGAGGAAGATAAGAGGAATGGGTGGTGTGGTATCAGGCATTGAAAAATTGCACACTGCTTCGTGATCAGTAGGCCCGGGGGCTAGTTCCCAGAACTCGACAGGAGACTGTAGTGAATTTCCGGGTGAACTATGCTGTGCTTGCTCAATAGTCGAGGATTAGAGTGGACTCTGATGTGCGAATGAATATACCAAAGAAGTTTGAAGTACGGATGTGTACATGTTGACATAAAATTTCCGTGCAGGAGTTTCATTAGGGCTGTAGTGTAACGGGAAATGCTCATGTGTGTGGAGTCAGCTTCCCAAGTTCTAACCTCGCAGTGTGACATTTTCTCCCTTTCTTTTGAAATTACGAGTTTTAGCTGCCGAGCGCAGCGACTATAGTTTTCGTCTTGTCGAAAGGGTCTAATTCTAACTGTGATTCCCTGATTCTCGAAAATACTCAGATTCAATGGAGTCACCCGAGAAATCAGCCTCGCGAGCAAGGCATATTGAGTAAGAGTTTTACTCAGCCAAAAAATCAACTTTAGATTCTCGAATCAGCTTGGAGATTCATATATCATCGCGATGATGCTGATTTCTCGCTCCAGAGTAAAAAATCAGTAAATCACGGGTTACTACTCACCATCTGTTTTTTTTTCATCGCGGTGAATCCTCTGGCTCACCTGTTGCATCAGGATCCGCTCACGGGCCCTGTTCTCACTCCTAGGCAGACCGCTAAGCTGCTCGTCTTGCCAGTCCTTGTTGTCAGCGAAGGTATGGGAATATGATGGTAGTATAGGGGTCTCCGCTAGAGTTCTTATCAACTTCGTAAGTGACCAGGTGCAATGGAAACCTTGGCAGCTTATCACTGACGGTGAAGTCACCCCTCAGTTAACCAAGGCATGTACCGGAGTGCAGCGTCCGTTGAGATTGATGACTACACTGAAGTGGATACTAGGCGCTGGGCCCATGCCGCAGACGTCATTTTACTACAGAATAACTGTAGTAGCCGTACTGGGCCCACATACCTTCGCACTGGATACCCGAACACATAATGCAACTCTGTTCGTGGGCCTAGTCGCTACTGCTGGGCGTTTTTGTCTGGTTGATCTTGGGATCACTGGACACTAATTCACCTACATGTAGGAGCATCCAGATTTCGGAATGCTGCACAGTTCCTTGGCAAGAGCTTTTGAATAACAGAGTCGAGCGTTTTGTTCTACGGGTGGGACCCACTATCAGTTGTTGTTAGTTTTTCATCCTCTTCTATAGCCACCATGTCTGCTTGTGTGGAGCTGTCCCACTGCACATACATCTTCTTGGGGTTGTGCTATGGTGTTGTATTAGTAGCTATAATTTGTTCTCTAATATCAGTGTACATAATGCAGACACAACCTGTTTGGGTGATCGTCCTCATCTCTGTTGGTGTTGCATGGCTTGCCTTCGGAGTTGCCTTTAAGTTTGTGTTCTCTGTGAGAGACTCGCGACGCCAGCGGTTGGGCACTGGAGTCGCTGAGAAGGATAGTCCAACTGTCTGTGAACAGAGTTCAAGTCTCAGGCGACCTGGATGAGCCGCGCAGTTTTGACTGTGGAAATGTATCATCACTATAACGATTCGTTGTTAACGACAATAGCAACATTGCTCGTCTCTTAACGTCTTCTAAGTAACAGCACTGTGTTCAGTGCGTAACTTCGAGAAATAATAGTATTTTATAAGGCTGGGTTTATACTACACCCATAGGTATAGCATTACAGCATGGATGGGGCCCTCGGGGGTCCGTCACCGATATGATCGGAGACTCTGGCTAGCTTGAAAGTATCTTTGCTAGCGTCAGGATCTCGGACCTCGCAACTGTAGTTTCGATTGGGAGTACTGTGTTGAAGTATAGGAAAGTAATGTTTTCGTATTGCAATAGCGAAGGTGTACTGTTGTCAGGTTTGTTTCATACGTACTATCTTTTATTGTCACTCCCTCTATGGAACGGCTCCACATCTCTTTCGCTAAGGCCATCACTCTCCTGGTCTTGTGGCTCATCACCATTCTCACTCTCGTTGCAGTGGCACTAATATGTGCCTTCGCCTTCCATCTTAGCGGCATTGTTGTTGGCAGTATCATCGTCGTTTGCAGCCTCATCGCAGTGGTCGGTCTGGTTGCTCGTAGGTGGATAGTTGTCGAACGCGATATCACGATCTCTGAGTACTACGGCAAGGAAGACGACCCTGTTAGGTCTTCTTCTACTGTCGCTGATGAGGCTATTGCTACTGCAGTGTAGATACATGAAAGCATGATCGTGGGTTTCGCGCGACGATGTGAAAACTGGCAAAGTTTCTGATTGTTGTAACTTTGCTGTTGTCTTTGCGTGCTGCTAGCAACAGTGTTTCGCTTTCGCGGAATCTGTCTCGACTGCTATCGTTACTCTCTCACGGTTTTTCATCTCGTTACCTGTATCATGTTTTTGAGCACATCGTCCCCGTACACGGCTCGTCGATTACGTAATTAGGAGGTCTATCCTGTTGTTGCACCGTCACGGTGGTGTGCACCCTACCGAGATATCTTGCCGTGTTTTTTACTCGCTAATCTTTGTAGTCGTCGTGAACTCACTCTCATGCTAGCCGTCATAGTCCAGGTGGGACTCTTATTATCCGTGTTTTCGCTGTACCAGTACTCGTCTATTGTCAATACCTCATGTTATGCTATTAGGAGACTCTCTTTGAAAGAGGGTCGTTATTGTGGAGGACAATCACATTTATTGCTCAAGTCTGCTGTACTTTGTAGCATACCCTATAATTATCGTCGTCATCACGAACACCGGCCACTTTTCGACGAAAACTTCATCAATTTTCTTGTGTTCGACAGTTGATTAAGGAGGTTGTCGTTGTTGTTACTACACCAACGATTCCACTATTGAACCAGCGGAGAACGAGAAGACGCTGCATTTATCGCAAGCATTGAGTGTTCGGCGAATCGTCTTCGTCCTCCTCTTCTCATGGAGGAGATGCGGATGAAAATAAGGGTAACGCCAGTGAGAGGAAAGATTCCGGACAGCATAAGTGTGATAAGCGATCCTCTGATGTGGTTACATACGGTTCCCCTTCTTGGGTGGACTCAATGATCCCTTCCGGTGTAATACAATCCGGCAATCGCAACTTTTTGCTAATGTTGCGGGTTTGCCAAATGCTATAATTCCTGGCAGTCTCACTTTTTTGCTCATTTGTATGTGCTGCTTTTTCAGTTACAAAGTAGCAACCACATTTACACCCTAGCAATTTCTGGTATAGGTTTTAGCAACCAAATGTTAAAAGTAGCAAATTCGAAAGTGTTTTCCAGCAAGTCGCTCTTTTTTGCTCTTTTTTTGCTGCATTGTATATTCCCCCGGAATGTTTTACACCCTGGCACTTTTGCCCAAATGTGCTTCGCCCGCACATTTTCGTTATTCTGGCAAGTTGTGCTCATTTGCTGTTTAATATTTTTCGCGTTGTAATAATATAATCTGGCACCTTTCAAGGTTTGCTCTTGTGTGATGTTCCTGCATGAAATATACAAATTGGCAGTGGCCGGTATGTGACAATGCTGCGCTACTTTTATGTTTTGGCTATTTGCTCTCTTGTAACTTACGCCCTGCGGGAATATATACTAGCGTTTTGCTCACTCGCTCAATCTGCGTCTCTGTTGGGGTTATTAGCAAACTTATCATTTTGCATTATTCGTACGAGCAATATACAATCGAGCAAACATAGTTATGGGATAGCGTTTCTCGTTCGATTACGGTATTACGCCTTATATCTTACGCTCCAGAACATGTTCATGCCCTGTGCACTTACTAAGTATCTTATCTATCAAAGTGTCACACTTTGTGTCTCACTTCAAGTGAGTCACTTAGTATCGGGTCAAAGCGTGATAGCACTCTAGTGAGATATATCATTCACTCCGAAGACAGCGCGAGTGATGATCA